GTGACCAGTCACAGACCGGTCAGATCATGGGTTAGGTGGCGACAGGCGGTCTGACGCACGCCTCGCCCCATCCCGTCAGGACGAGAGCCTCCAAGCACTCGTCCCTAGCTGGAGCCGGCGTGTTAGCTCCTGGAGATGGCACGTTGGTTCCGGTCAGATGTATGCCAGGCTTCATCCTAACCATTACAGGCAAGATATTGTATGAAGAAGAGCGAACATGCAGATTGTTAAACTGACACGTGGTGGACAAGAATGACCGATTTGTGACCGGTCTGACAATGGTCAAGTCATCAGCAGACAGCCATCTTCCCACGTCGCGCCTGCCTCCGGCGGAAGTGGAGGTAGGTATGGGCCGTCCCGTCAGAAGGTCATTCGGACGGCGGCGATGCAAATCTCCGTCTGTTAATGAAGAGAAGTCAAATTGGAAGAAAGAGAGGGGGAGATGGTGCATGTGGTATCCCCTTAAGATATAAAAGGAGGACCTTGCCCACTTAGAGGGGGGATTTGGACTTTTCCAGATTGGGAACCCAGAACGAGGGAGAGGCTGGCTCATACTTTGTAGTTCCTTCATACACGAATCCACCAAAACACAGGAGTAGGGTATTACGCTTCTCAGCGGCCCGAACCTGTATACATCGCCGGCGTCTTGTGTGCTTCCTGTCTCGCGAACCTTCCACAGATTGGGAGCTTAGAGTCTCACCCAGGGTCCCCGGCCGAACCGGCAAAGGGGGGCCAGCGCGGTCTCCCGGTGAGGAGCCCCACGCTCCGTCAGAGGGAGTAGTTTTGAGCAATTGTTCCTGCACATTGACGGACCTAGAAATTTCCTAGAGGCTGATTTCCCTTAATTATATATTACTCCGTAGTACACATTGACAGAACTAGGAGAAAAGCTTTAGCACCGGATACATAAACGGACCTAGCTGAAAACTGTAGTACTGTATTCTCATGATGTAACACTCTGAAATTTCAGGTTTTGTATTCGGTGTATTTCGATTGGTCGTGAGATGGTGAGGAATCGATGATATAATTCGAACTATTTTACTGGAGAAATTACCTAAGCTACTCTTTGTTGAGTGGTGACCTCGAGTTTATTCTTAAAAAAGGCGCACAGATTATTGGAGAAAATACCTTAAGCAACTTTATGTTATTGAGTTAATTGGATTCATGCCATTACAATTTTATTGATTTGAATAAAATGTCATTACTATTAACGAAATCGGGGTGGATACCATTACATTATTTTGAAATTATAGCTATGTCACTTCGTTCTGTCAATACCTCCGTCAGATCCAACGGGCCATGAGCATTGGCTGACTGGTCATCTTCTCCCCCCACCCACATCCTCCTCGCATGTTCTAGGGTCAGGCAGCGGCGGCAACAATGGGGTGTTGGTGGTGGCTTGTGGTAAGCAGGACAGCGACGAGCAAGATGGACAAGATGGTGCACAAGATTCCTCATTTCCTTGTTGCAGTCAGTCTTGGCCCTCAAATCACGCTTGCCTTGTGGAGGTGGTGCACAACGTGGCTCAAGCTCACTGGTCATGGAGCTGAGGGCGTCACACTGCGATTTGCGCATCTGGCGATGGTGGTTCTCTGAGCCTGTGTCCTCGGGGAGGTCGAGTGGGATTTTGTAGATCAGACTCGCTCGCATCTGTGCTAGACTTTCTTTAGAAATTTTGAGGTCTTTTTTATAGTGCTTGTTTGCTTAGGCACATATTGAGCCGAAAGTTGGATATTAGAAAGAGTTTTGACTCTTTGCTAAGATTTGCTTGGTTGCTTCGCATGCATGCGATCTCTGACAAGCCATCTGTAGATGTCAAGATTGCCACCAATGTATTGCCCTACAGCCATCCGCCCTCAAGCTCAACCCCCTATAGCTTCGTGCAGTCTCATCCAACTCCTTGCGTCCACAAGAAGATTCGAGAACAAGGAGGAAGAAGATGTGTTGATAGAAGTCATGACGGAGTGACATGTTTCTAATTTTTGAAAAGTACAATGGAATCCACCTGGTTCATGAATACTAATGATAATTTTTAAATCCGATACATTTATAATGACATGGATTCAATTAACCCTATGTTATTACCTTGACGGCTTGACCGCTCGACTCTATACTTTGTCAAAAATTAGAAGGAAAGTAGGGACTGAAATGAAAAAGGTCCCGACGAACCCCTACCGTCCGATCCGGCTCCCATCTATATATTCCACTCGCTCCCCCACCTCACAGCTCTCATCCAAGTCTAGGGTTTCATCCTCCTCCTCCTCCTCCGCCGCCGCCTCCCTCCTCCCCCACCTCCACTCTCCACTCCAATGGCGACTCACACGCAGATCAGCAAGAAGCGCAAGGTAAGGCTCCGATCGAGACCTATCCATTCCAGAGCAGTCTCGATCTCGTCACCCATGGATTTCGAGATTTGATGCGCCCTTTTTTTTGGCTCGCAGTTCGTGGCGGATGGGGTGTTCTTCGCGGAGCTGAACGAGATGCTGACGCGCGAGCTCGCGGAGGACGGCTACTCCGGCGTCGAGGTCCGCGTCACCCCCATGCGCACCGAGATCATCATCCGCGCCACCCGCACCCAGAACGTCCTCGGTGAGTTCGTGAGTTCGTGGCATTTCTGATCTGGGCAGCGAGGCGATTCCGTGCGATTTATCCCGGGTGCGCGATCTGATGCTTTGGATGAATGCGATTTCAGGCGAGAAGGGGAGGAGGATCCGCGAGCTGACGTCCGTGGTGCAGAAGCGGTTCAACTTCCCGGAGAATGGCGTCGAGCTCTACGCCGAGAAGGTGAACAACCGCGGCCTCTGCGCCATCGCCCAGGCCGAGTCGCTCCGCTACAAGCTCCTCGGTGGCCTCGCCGTCAGAAGGTTGTGCTCCATCCTGAAACTCGCGTTCCTTAGATATTGGTATAGCAGCATGTCATCTTCACAGCAACCGGCTGCTTGTTCGTGCCAGAATTGTGTTCGATGATGACTGAGATCAATTACCGCTCCTCTATTGCATTTTCATATGCTGTGGTTGAGACTGCTTCTCTTCCGCGGTTTGCTGCTTTAGAGGGATATATGATTGTTTATTGTAGCTGTTTTTTTTATGCTCGAGTGAAGGTTGTGTTTGCATTTGTTCTATGTCATCTATAAAGCAAATAGGTCACTATTGTACCAACTTTGTGTCGGAAGATGACTAGATTATTTGAGCTAACTAGGTACTCTACTGAGAAGTGTTGACAATTGGCTTCTAATGTGTGATCCTGTTGGGCACATTAGTTTAATTTTAGTCCCTTTTTACTTCAAATATAAAAATATACAATATTTCGCTCCTCTTCTGCAGGTAGCTTTAGAGGGCTATGATCATTTATTATACCTGTTGTTTTCTGTACGAGTAAAGGTTGTTTGCATTTCTTCTATGTCATCTATAAAGCAAATAGGTCACCATGTACCAACTTTGTGTCGGAAGATGACTAGATTACTTGAGCCAACTAGGTAGTCTCTGCTGAGAAGCTTTGTTAATTGGCTTCTAACGTGTGATCCTGTTGGCCACATTTAATTTTAATCTCTTTTACTTCCAATCTAAAATAGCTTGTACTGTTTAGGATGTTCTCTACAAGCATGCTTTGTTTCTCTTTATGTATTTTGATTTTTGTCTGACTAAATTTGTTGTTTCTTTTGCCAGGGCGTGCTATGGTGTGCTCAGGTTTGTTATGGAGAGTGGTGCTAAGGGCTGTGAGGTACTCTCATGCAAAACGAAAGCTGTATGGTTTTGCTTGGATTCCTGCTCTATTTATGTATTGATTTGCTGTTCTTTGGTTTACAGGTTATTGTGAGTGGGAAGCTTAGGGCTCAGCGTGCTAAATCCATGAAGTTCAAGGACGGATACATGATTTCTTCTGGTTATCCTGTTAACTTGTATATTGACTCTGCTGTTAGACATGTTCTTCTGAGACAGGTTTGTACATAAAATCCATCCGTTTGAATAAAATGTTGCTGTCTCCTTGTGATAGCTTGAATTTTTTTCTTAGAAGCTGCTTCTTGTTTTCAGGGTGTGCTGGGTATTAAGGTCAAGATTATGCTTGATTGGGATCCGAAGGGCAAGCAAGGACCAATGACTCCTTTACCGGATCTTGTTACCATCCATGCCCCTAAGGATGAGGATGAGTTTTCAAAGCCTCTTACAGCTGAGATCCCAGTTGCTGCTTAAATAGAATAAGTTTAGGTGATCTGATGCATGCGCTTCATGTTTTTTTCAGTTATGTAATGTTCATTATTAACATTATTACTAGTAAAGAGTTCTAGTTTTTAAGTTGCAAACATCAGCAACTAATACAAGATTCGTCACTATTAATTTCTTCCTGGTGCTCAGTAACATTTATGGTGTGTCTCACTTTCTAGTTCCTGATATATTTCTCATTTTTTTACATGAGATTAGTATAGTAGGTAATCATTCTGCCCACTGTATATGCTTCATCCTGCAGGATAGTGTGTATCGGCTTAACGCTTTTTTGTGCGTCTTGTGCCAAAAGTGTTTCCTGCTATATTGATCTGGGGAAAGTGGGCAGTTGGGTTAAGCTTTTGTGCTTTTTTCAACAATCATTTTCCTCTCATTTATCTCTACATATTTTTATATTATGACATTATGTCTGTTTTGGTGATCTGTAAATTGCATTCTTGCTTTATTTATTCCTTATTGTGCTTCTGTAGCTTTTAGTTTTCTCTCTAGATAGCAGTACCAAAGAAATGTTTTACTTTTTCATGGATTTTACATTTGTTTTTTCCGTTGTCATGTTACCCTGCAGGATAGTGTGTATCGGCCTAATGCCTTATGCTATGCATTTTTTGCCGAAAGTGTTTCCTGCTATATCAATTAGAGGAAAGTGGGCAGTTGGGTTAAGCTTATTCTGTTTTCTCCAACAATCATTTTCCTCTCATTAGACCTGAAACAGATTTGTTTGTTGTTTGTATGGCAGTGTCATGAAACTTTTATCAACTTCGGTTGTCTAGAACTCATTGCATGCAGGACTAGTATAAATGGAGCTGCACATACAATTTCATTGTACATGCTGCTTAAACTTTCCTGCTAAACCAGTTTTGGGAAAAATGGGCAGTTGAGTTCGGCCAATTTATCTATGGTTTCCTCAACAATCATTTTTCCCACATGTTATCAATGTTGATGTTGAGTCTTCGCTTGCTTTTCTATTCCTAGCTTGTATCTTCTAAACAGCAGGATTTTTGTATCGGCAGCATGATTCAATATGTGCTTTGCTACCGAGCTGTTTAATTCTGGATTGTAACTTGTAAGCTGTACAATTCTTTGTTTATACCACCCCAGGCCACGTTTCCTTCGCCCTGGTTGTCCTTGTCATTAGGTTTTGCATCAAAGTCGTCTTCCCGTGCATTAGTAGTGTACTGTTCAGCTAACATGATGCGAATATCACTAATCACTTCATAGGGGTTGTCACTTATCAGTGGACTCCGGGCATGCGTGCTTGTGTTTTTGCTTCTCTCATCTCTCACGAGGTACTGGCTTATAATGGCTTCTCGTTTAGTACTACAAATTTTTAGTTCTGTCGTTGCAGATGAGTGATTGGTACCATGTGTCGTTTCATTTTCAATATCCAATGTAAAGATGGATTCAAATATGAATGTGAGCCTTTGCAATTATAATACCCTGGCTAGCACGCCTGATTTCGCACTTGAGTTTGATATTGATTGTTGAATACGAGTGTTAGCATCAGCATTTAGGGGACGTGTCCTTGGTCGAACTCGAATATCAGTGATTGCCAATTCGTAGCTACTGACTAATGTTATTATAGGTAGGTACGTAATCTAAACAATAAAAATTGATGAATGTAAAACCATTACCCTTGTATTCTTTTTGATCCAAAAACGAAGATCAAAGCACTAGAAAATTCAAGTTGATAACAAAATCTAATGTAAAACCATTGCCCTTGTATTCTAAGTGATCGAAAAACGAAGATAAAAAACACTAGAAAACCAAAAGTTACTGATAAAATCTACCGGCATAGCTATGTTCTGAATCTTTGGATACAGTGCCGTATACTGGAGAACATCATTATGCATTTATGCGGTATTTCGTTCGACATCTCTGCACTGCAAACGGCTACGGTACCTAAATGGAGCAAGAAAGCAAACTCTTAACACAGGACGCAGTAGTAAGCTGGTAGACCAGCTAAATACAGCCATCTACTTAATTAAAAAAAAACCAAATTAAGATTAGATTAGGAGTACAATGGATAAGCAGTCTTAGCCCCCTAAGGGGCAGCACAACTGCATGCCTAACAAGTTAAAAACACCCTTACAAGTTACAGCCACTGCCATACAATAACTTAACAAAGTTAAAAATCATCCTCACGAGTTACAGCCATTGCAAATAAGAATAGCCGCTGCACTGCACTATGCAGACTGCTCCTACCACACGGCGAGCCCAAATCTTAACTCTGGATGGGCTCGCCGTGCCACACCTTAGGACGGGCGCGCACGCTTGCCGTTGCCGCTGACGCCGCCGCCACCGCCGTTGCCGCCGCTGCAGGAGGGGCACTTGTACTGCTTGATGTGCTCCGCCTTGGCCGGGGTGATCTTGACGCACTTGCCGTGGAACCACTTCTCGCAGATGTCGCAGCAGATCCAGAACTCGTCGGCGCCGTAGCTCTCCCCGCACGCGCCGCACAGCGTCTCCCCGTGCTCCTCCTCCCTACCGCCTCCTCCGCCGCCACCGCCGCCTTCCTCGTCGTCCGGGCCGCCTTCCTCCTCGCGGCCTTCGTTCTTCACTGGGGGCTGGGGCTGCGGCTTTGGCTGCTTCGCCCGAGGCTCAGAAGACTTCTGCTTTCAGAACGGCATATGATTAAGATTTTTAAAAAAATGTTAAAAGGATTGATTTGGTGAAAGAAAAACAACGAAACACACTGAACAGATCAACAATAAGGAAATGACAAAGCGCTGAGCATTATGAAGGATTTGCATGGTGTATTGGTGTCTGAGATTGGTCACACAAGCAAGAGTCATGCATGGTATGAGTACAATTCAGGAGAATGGGCCGTACCGTTTTATTGCTGGATTTTGATTTACTATTGCTGTGGTTATTAGCACTCGGTGGCTTGGCTTTACTCTTCCCACTAACAACTTCAAAAATCGTGGGAAGATCATTAATCATACCAAACAGGCGCTTCCTGCACAACAACAGCAGAGTGTCAGTAACACATGACAGGTCAAACATAGGTACAAAGCGGCAAATATTCAAGAACATCATTTCTCAATTAAAGTCATTAAGGCATGCGATAAACATTAACCACTTAACCATGTGCATCATTTCCATTAATACCGAAACACTCCCAAGACACTAACATCACAGATAAAACCAGAAGATTACCAACTAGAAAACATATATTAAACTTCAAACATGAATATGTACCAAGCAGAACAGCTGAGAGCTGGCTCTTTTAGGTAACTCTAGATCTTTGTGAAACAAACCGTAGAATTACAGAATGAAATTAAGCAATCCATACATACAAGTACCATTATAGCATGTTAAAATGTTAGCAAGACTATTCTTCAGTCTGTAATAGAAAATTTTACTCCACGCTCATGCTGAGTCACTCTATTAGTGAGGCAAAAGATTCCCAGAGGATGGACACCTACCCATTCCGGATTTTATTTAAGCACCATTACTACTAGTAGTATACAACAATATTTACCCCTTCTTTTTTTTCCTTGATGCTATGATACTAAAACTGAGTCTATCTGATTAAGGCTTAAATACTGCATGTGTGGTGAATGCATGAGCAAAGTAGGATCTAAAAAAAAAAAAGGCACATGAAGCACCATAACTAGGTAAGAGAAGTATAGATATAGGAAGGATGAGATACCTGTCATTTTTATCAAATCCGAACCGAGCACCAAAGTAAAATGCAACAGAAAGTAACCATGCATCACTGTGCACTGCAACCATGGACAGCCAATCTTTTTCCTGCATCCCATCTCGTGCAAAGTTAATGCCCAATGCTGGCTCTGGGAGCTCAGGTGGCACCTCTTCTGCGGGCAAATTTACTTCCCAATGCTCATTGGGAAACCCATAAAGGCACAAGTTTTCCTTTTCTGCAGAAAGAGAAACGCATGGTTATGTATGGCTGGACAAATATATTAGTTAAACGCTTATGAGTGCTCAAATATCAGGTCAGCATAGGTGTACTAGGAGAAAATGGTGCCCACTGGTCAGAATTTGAGTATGACTTAGCTAAAGTAAGCTGAAATATGCATCTCATCTTGTTCAAATAAGGTCACCTTTGAAGTATAATCAAACAAACCTTTAGAGCCAACGGTGGTTTTCCTAACGACGGTTGTAACATAGGAGAAACGGGTGGGCTTGCAAAACAATAATTCAACTAAGGCTCAAAAGATATGAGAAAAGTATCCAAGTTTAGGGTATTTGCTACAATTTACTATCCGAAAACATGTAGATCAATCTGTTACAAAGTGCTATGGCTTAGGAAGAAACATGTTGCACATTTATAAAAACAGGTGGAACCCAACTTATTAAGAAATTTAGTGGTTGAAATCAAATAGCCGCAAGTGAAACCACTTGTCAATGAATTTCTTCTTCCATACCTTCACGGCATATATATGAACTCAAAATAAGCATGACTCAAGCTCACCAAAATTATCATTTTGCTGCTCCATTGCCATGAGAATAGACTCTTCAATATAAGACCCTATTTCCTAACCAAATGCTTCAAGCAGTGTTTCCACTAGCCAGTTCATGGATATTGGACATTAAATGACAAGTAGTTGATGTAATTCACCAAACAAAGGCCCAATCCACACAAGGACAACTTTCATTATTTGGGAACAACTGAGGATCTTCACTGCACAATGCCCTCCCCTGACCTCCTCCACGTTCCACAGTAAGGTGTTCAGAGCATTTATTAGTCTTACAGGCTTCAATGGACCAAGCAGTACAGTGTGCAGAGAGTGGTGTTGTGATGGTCTAATGTAAAGAAGAAAGCAGAGATAATGACACGAGGCAGCATGATGTCAGCAACACGATGTTTCAACAGAGGTTAAATTGAGGATAGGATGGGTGAATGCTGCCGGTTATAGGATCAAATGCTGGGTCTTTGTTGTGGGATCAAAATCAATCACACACCACCACCACCATCCAGTGGATCCCCACGGGCCACAGCACCGCTCTTGGCTGTATGCAACAGTGGAGCTGTACTGTACCCCATGTTTAGCCAAGAACCATTGGGATCACAACCCGCTGGTCACAACACCAACTGCCCAGCCACCGGCTTACTTCTGTACTCCTACTACACACCACAAGCAGCATTGCTTGCAGCAAAGCCAGCAAGGTTGACCTCCTCCTACCATTGTAGGCCTGTGACATGTGCTCCCAAGAATCCCAGAAACCACATCAACCCCCCATTATTTAGGCCACAAGAATCAAACCCCACCTACCAAACAGGACCCCACTAATGCTGCTGAACCCAACAACCAAAAATCCCAAACTCAAATGTAGCAGCAGCCTCCACAGATTGTGGCGCCTTCCAGGCCAAGTGCTACTGCTTCTTCCCTTGGTCCATTTCACTGCCAAGCTACTAGTCTACTGCTACCTGCTATAGCTTTCATGGCCTCATGAGTGTGAAGTTGAAGGTCTCACTCTCACATTCTCACTGGAAGTGTCGGTTTAGGTTAATCTCAACCGTCCATTACCCACTAAACCCCCACGAATTAGGGCATTTGATTCGAATTCTGACTTCCGAGAGCTTCACGTACTGACGCGTATTCTGCTTAACTACTAGTAGTACTCGTGTATTCAAAACGAGACACAGATTCAAACCGTCGGATTCAAAAAATAAACCGGAGATTTGCGCGGAATTCTACTGCAGCGCATAAATCCGCAGCGAGCTAAGCGCATTCGTGGACGAAACAAATGCGTTCCCTGTACAAATTCCAACGCGCATCGAAAGCGAAAGGCAGGAAAAAAAAAACAGAAGCGGGAAAAAGAAATTCCACTCACCCGGGTCGCATTGCCGGAAGAAATCCTCCACATCTGCAGCGAGAAAAAACCACACCAAACCAATCAGCGAACCATCCTACAACCCCAGAAAAAAAAACCAAAAAAAAAACTCCCCACTAACATAACAGCATAAAAAAAAAATCTCGAAACGGTCCGCATCTAGAAAAACCTCCGGCTGCGGCGGCGGCGGCGGCGGCGCGTACCTGCGGTGAGCGCGCGGACGAGGCCGGCGCGGCGGCCCTTGAAGTCGCGGAAGACCTCCTCCACCGTTCGCGGGTTGTACTGCGCGTCCATTTTTTTTTCTCGTCGCCGGAGGAGGAGCTGGGGTGTGTGCTGCGCCGCGTTTTATTCTGACATTATTTGTTTTTTTTTTGGTATCTTTTGGAGGGGGAGGGGTTTAAAAGAGAGAAGAGAGGAGGGGGAAGCGGACGCGAGGGGGAGGGAAGGCGACTTAAGTGGTTGGATTGGAGAGAACGGGGCGTGTCCGCGCGCCCCCCCGCGCCTCCACTTGGTGGGCCCCGGCCCATCGCGACGACGAAATTTCCCCACCCCCTTCCCAGCTTAGTTAGGCTAAGCCTAGGGCGGGCGGGGCGGGCGCGTTTTTGTTTCCTTTTCCAGATTTTACTGGCGCGTGGGGCCCACCGGTCAGCCCGACAGACTCATATCGGCGGCTTGTGTAGTTTGTTCGGTTGCCAAAATTAACGCTACTACTAAATTCGAGCATCCAAATTTGGTAAAGTTTGGTAATGCCAACGTCTCGTTTGGCATAACTTCATCTCTTCTAGAACTGTAGCTCAACAAAACAGTTTACGATTTTAGCTCCATCCAAAAAGGAGTAAACATAGTTAGAATACTCTCAAAAAATGAACTATTGAGATGAAGTTTGATTTAGATAGCTCCATAGCTTCATCCTTGAAGTTAAATTTAGGAGTTTAAGCACTACCAACTAGACCCTAAAATTTAGTAAAGATATATGGGTACCGTTAAGTCTGATACCTTACCAAATAAAATTAAAAGAATTCGCGTGAATTGAACTGAATGGTTTCTTAATATAATGCAAACCATCTTCGCACTCCATTCCAAACCGTGTCCACAATCGTTTGATTTTACAGGAAACCAAAAAAAATTGTGAATTTAGGTGCATATTTGATTAGGAAAAGAGATACGCGCCTAAATTCGAGCTGAGGACTCAATTAACAAAGTCAGTTCCTTCATGCTGCTTCATTTCATAGTAGATGCCAGTGTTAAGAAAAATGCATCAGGTTCACTCTTCAAACGTGACAATCCTACAACTATCAAACTGGATAAAGCAACGAGTCAATAAGGTCGTGTAATGCTAAAAAATTACTGCCGGTGAAGACATGGCCTATTGATATTGCAACAGTTTTGGTATAACAGGCTTAAGAAGCAGGCAACCAGATCTATAACACCAATAATAAAAAACACAAAACCAAATTGCTGAACCAGAGCCTAAAAACCTATGCATTACACTGTTATACACCGAGGCCAGATTATGACATGGTAATGCGCTACAGTATATTGTAAAAAACTTCAACAAAGCAACATCACAGATTAAATCAAGGGGGGGAGGGGGAATCATCAGTTCAAAGGCTAGGTCTTCTCAGAAATCTATATATAGCTCCAGAGACAAATGTAGTGCTAGGATGGAGAGCAACCTCAAGGTATTCACAACTTTGCCTTCTTCAGGTTGAATGGAGAATAATTGCCTGAATTAATTGTTTGCAGTGAGCTTCAGTTCATCAGGATTTAAATCGCATCACACCAGAAAACTGGAGCCTGGAAGAAAAAAAAAAGAAGGCCGCTCCAGATGTTCTGGTCACTCTTCAGCTTCATCTAGAAAAAGATTGAATTCGTCAAAACAAACTTCTCCAGTCAACAGCAAAAATAGTACGTGGTTCTAAAATTTGAAGGAGATGGGTAAAATATTTGCCAGCAGTCAGACATCAACACTGCTAAAACTGCATAGTGTACACAGATAGACAGAATCACCGATCATCACATAATGATTTGTTCAAGCAAACAAATACTAAATCCCTTCAGATGGGCAGAGAAAATTGTCCATCCAATGAATGGGTTCTGATCCCCCCCAATCCAAATGGATTTAAATCTAGTCACCCAATACAAGGGGTAAAGCCAGGCAGCAAATGGCAAGCAAACAACATAAATGAACTATGGGTAGTATCCAAAAGAAGTGCATTTAATTTATTAAAAAAAATATTTGTCGGCATATGAAAAGTCTAATGCAGTAAACACAATACAGAACTTCAGAATAAATTGACCCTGTCAACAAAGCAAATGGAAAACTTGATAACAGAACTGTCTTGAGAAACTTTTTAATAGACAAGATAGAAAATTACCATCATTAGCAATTTCACTTTTGCAGCTGGTATTACAACTCTGTACTTCTGGAGCATATTGGTCCAGAAACAGTTGGATTGTCCTCCAGTAACGGTCTCCTCCAGAATTCCAGGTATCCATATGCATGCCATTGGGAAAATCAACAAATCTACAATTCTTATTATGCTCAAAAGCTTTTTCATATAGTAACCTCATGTGTGAAGGGGGAACTAATTCATCTTGTAATCCAGAAAGGAAAATAATGGGTTGTTTGACCTGCGAGGAAAAGGTTAAGCGAGCATAAGAAAGGGACACATCAACTAGGCAATAGATAACGCACAGCATCAGGTCTCGGTAAAATAGTAACCAAAAAGTGGAAAGAGTATTTACAAAGATCTGAGGCCTTATAGATTTTAATAATTCTAAGTTCTAACTCTTGTCAATATATATATACAGTAGCTGAAATAATGTAGTAAAAAAAATCTTAGCTTAAATTTCAAATATGCATGCCAAAAAAGCAAATTAGAATATTTGAATCACATAAGAAATTGATATGTATTCTCTAAAGATATGCAACCTACAATCTAATTTTCCAAAATAGAAAAGAAGAAAATGAGAGCGGTAATCAAAGCGTGAAAACAATAGATCTTGGATGTTGATATAGTCACTCACCTCTGCAATGATATCAAGTGTACTCCATGGGGAGCGAACAACACAGTTCAGAAGTTTTGGACCTTTTGAAGAACTGCCACCTATGAACCATCGTAAGAAGGGTAGCATGATACCAGCCATATCCAATATAGATGTAAAGGTGTTTTCCAGTATTAGAGCTGACACCTGCAACATATGGCAACACATACAATGAATTTTACTCGACTTCGAAAATCAGAATTTAACATACCTTCAAGATATTCAGATTTACTTCAAGAAGATTATCTCATCCAAACACCCTTAATGGATGAGAGAATTAGGAGTTGTTTTGACGTATATTAGTTAGCCAGTTGCAGCCAGTCTATTTTAAGGGGGAAAATAGATCTAGGAGATACTCTTTTTCCAATAAATATGAGATTCTGTCCCAGCCGCCTTATAACACATTCCTTTGTTAAACATGCGTGCCACTGCCATCATATCATGTTAGTACAATGTAATCAAGATTGTGCATTGCTTTCAGACACTACAGTTGGTTGCTAGCACTTGAAAAGAAGGGGCATTTTTCAGTGTGGCTACAAAAAGAATGTATAGCAAGTAGAAAGCAGTTCATTGCCAGTGGGAACTTCTCAATATTAAAGATACTATAGTCTCTCTATCAGTCTATCTTGGGATCACTGTGTTACACACAGTTGCTGCTGACATTACTCTTCATCACATAGATCAGTTCACCTTTTCCCTTCAATCCTTAATATTGACATTAAAAAGTGATATGATTTAACTTAAAAAATAGCAGATTGCACATAAAACTTCGGTTTCTTTGGTGAAACTATGTTTGGAGAAGGAATCCTGAAATCCACACTTCCAAAGAAAACTAAGTTCTTCAAATTTCTACAAAGGAGTAGTTATTTCAATATATCAGTGAATTTGAAATTTGCTGGTGGAGTAATGACCGTGATATAATGTCATTACATAGTAAACTAGATTTTTTTTACTAGATCTGTATCAGAACAAAATTGGAAAAGCTGATCGATCCCTAATTCATGTACATGTGCATGTTGACCCACATTACTTAGGCATGAAATATAGGTGCAATGGAGGATACTAGCGTCATCCATCCAATAGCAGAGAGAACAGAGGGGCCTCCCTAACTTTTATGCAGAAACATGAGAGTACACAAGATTTCCTATCATGAGTACCTTGCCAGGATTGTTTTTCGCAAGCACTGCTCCAACAGCACCTCCTAACGATCTCCCAAAAACAACTATCCTGGATGTGTCAATATCCTTCCTCTGAACTAGATGATCAAGTGCAGCCTATTAAAAAGAGAGCAGTAAGAGAATAGACAGAAACAGAAAACTTAACATAAAACCGATTGAACGAATCAGCAAACCTGTGCATCATTTATGATGCCCTTCTGAGAAGGATAACCATCACTCTCACCATACCTACAAATATAATTCAAGGTTTAGATGCACTAGTGAATGGAGGAAGAAGCATGTTTGGACCCACAACATATGGAGAGCTTTGAGCAAAAAGGGTGCAACAAAGATAACAGAACTAGTTTATACTGTTGAGAACCATACCCTCTGTAAGAAAGCATAAATACATTGCACTGTAGTCGTTGCATCATTAGTCGAACAAAGTCCAAACGATGTGCAATATCTATTAAGAGTAAAGGAATTCAAAAGAATATAACCCCATCGTCTATAAGCCTGTAAAATGTGGTATAACTTTCAGTGTCTATATAGAAAATTTCAGGATACTGCCAGCATTTTCTTGGAAGAACAGAATAGTTGGACCTGCATAAGGAAAACACATAAGCAAGCCATAAAAAGATGATGTAAAATTTGTGGAGTACTGAAGAATGAGCAGAATAATGTGTAAGAATATACAGTTATACACAGTATAAGGTTCATGTCATCATAGGAATGCTGGATCGGGAGGACAGTTGCGCAAGAGGATAAAAATCAAAACAATTATTCAAATGCTCTCCTAAAGGTTAAAATTATTGCAATCTCATACAATTAAGCATTATGAAATCTAATTAGAAACAAAGAACATAATCAAATCTCTTCTAACCTAGCATGACAACTCAAAACACCAGCACATGATGCGTTCAACCAACAAAATAGAAGAACGCGAACTTATGCATAGACAACAATAGCTGGTTCATGGTATACATTTAGCAGTATAATCTAGTATATCACTAGCTAGATTATAGCAATGACACTAACAACTAGCATTGATGCCTTGAATAATTATAGCATGCATATGTGTAAACATTAATTTTAAAGCTAGCTGTTTTGGTTGTGGTGTGGGCCTAAGGAGTCAACAACTGAGGTCAGCTAATCAGAAGATAGCTTCAGTTGTGTGGCACGTTTCTTGGGACCAAGAGCCAAGGATGCTGATGTGTATTTTGGATGTATATGTAGCATTTTCCACATTTTTCTCATCGACAAATTACCGCCAGTATAATTTCCAACCCCCGCCTGCTTCAATCAACTCTGCTCACATGAACTATTTTGGTAGCCACGCATGCTGTTATCTATCGTCGGAAAGCAGTATAGTACTTTCTAAACTGCATGTCTTCCAAAACTAAGTTCATAAACTAAACCATATGGTGCAATGTGATTGGCTAATGACTGTAGAACAAGTGAATGGGAAGGAAGCAACGAAGCACGATCAATTCTTCATCACAATATAAAAGTTTAAACCTATCGTACATTGAACATTTATGGGGCTTGCACTACAGAGCATATAAACGATAGAACAATAGAGAAATCCTAATACTAAGCACCAACACATCGCATCGCATACAACAAAGAGTATCAACTACAAAATCACCCCCAAAAAAAGGGAACTTGTTAACTCAATTCCCACTAAACTACATCATAACATCAGTCAATCAGTTCATACTCCAGACAAGACAGACCTATGTAACCAAATTACACAGAAACCCTAGAAATTGACAAAAGAATCTTCGCGAGCATGGGAGATAACTAAATCATCCCGCTACAAATTTCATCACCATTAAGCCCCCCTTTTTTTCTAGTGAAACCCCAATTCCTAATTTCCTACCGAGATCCGCCAATCCAATCGCGATCGAGGAAGCTAAGAGATGAAGCCACGCACGCGAATCGGATCAAAACGCGGGCCTTCCCAACCAAGCCTCGCAGACAGAGATCCACCAACCGAGACCCAAAAACAAAGGCTAACCTAAGTACTAACACACCAGGGAGCAAACCACGAACTGCACAAAATCTAGGAGAGGTCGAGAGGAGGTATGTGGAGGTGCTTGCCTCGGCAGGTGGGGGAGTGGCGGATGAACCAGGAGTGGAGGCGGACGCCGTCGGCGGCGCGGAGCCAGACGTCCTCGTAGATGAGGCGGAGGCGGTCGGGGGTGATGGGGTACGCCCGCGCGATCCCCGGGAGCACGGGCACGTAGACGAGGCGCTCCTGCAGCGCCACGAGCGCCGCGAGCCCCACCACCGCCATGCCCCCCGCGCCGTAGCACAGCGCCTTCAGCCAGCCCACCATCCCCGCCCCCGCCGCCGTCGATCCCGTCGCCGGTGAGAGAGAGAGAGAGAGGCGCTCGCTTCCGTCGGGCGTGCGGCGGCGGCGGCGGCGAGGCGAGATGCTTCGAGTTCCGACTCGTCGGGGCCGGGGTCGGGTTTGAGTTTGGTCCAAGATGTGGTCAGGTTCGAGCTTTTTTTTAAAAAGGAAAAACTGTCCGGTTCGAGTTGGAGTTCGTGGTCAGCTTGTACAATAAGGAAAAACTATTATTATTGGTGTTTGAATCTTCTGAAGATGAAGATGAAAATTAAGTGTTTCATGCAAAATGAGGCTGTAATAACATATGATTAATTGAGTTTTAATTATTATAAACTTAAAAAATAGATTAATTTGATATTTTATAACAACTTTCATATAGAAAGTTTTCGCACGAAACACACCGTTTAACGGTTTGAAAAGCGTGCCACGAGTATCCAAAAGTTAATCTAACTTTTGTTGGAGAAAAGAACAGGGCCATGCATATCAGAGCCGAATCTGGATTCAAGCGGTGTGATAGTTTTTTTTCTCCTAAGTTTTAATCGATTTTTACTATTTTTATTAAATTTTAATGGCTGAAAATCATTTAAAAAGATTTTAGTTGGAATATGTTTTTGTCACACATCGAAATATCGAGATTTCGTGGTTTTCGATCGGTTTTTATTGAGAGGCTAACATTGTCTCTTTACAAAGTAAATTAACTTCAATTGTATTTCGATGTCCAAGTTCATATTGTAATTTCATTGTTGATTCTTAGGAAGTGATTGTCTTGTGTCAAAATGTTAATTTTGACTGTTAGTTTCCATTTTTATATGTTATAACAAATCATGATTAGCGTATAATTCATGACAAATTATATTAAAGTATTATAAAGTTTCAATCTATAAGTACACTTGTCCCTATTAAAAAGTCAACGTGTATTGAGAATGAATAACACACATGCACAACTATGCTGACAACTATTTAGAAACAACGGCAACAACTCTATTTAAAGACAATGGAACTTTTTAGTGGTTTAAAAATAGAGTTGTACGGTGCAAGTAGCATACTTTTATATTTCCTACTACATCTTTCTGTTTGCATTTTAGTTTCCTACTTTTATATAAAGAACTTATATCCAAAGGGATACAAATATGTAAGAAAACACATTTTTCATGAGGAGCTTCTTTATAATTTTGGTTTGAAGCCATTTTTTTAAATATTTGCAACACGGATGAGCTTGCATGTCTTTATATGAGCTTCTACCTTTGTATTATGTTTGGTAAAAAATATTAGTAGTACTAAAACCTTATCAAGTTATGGCACCACTAAAATCTTGTTCGGTTGCGGCTGCAGCTATAGCTACTAGCCATAGTTATGCGTCGCAGCCGCAAACACGTGCCGCAGCTACTGCTGCTGCAAAAACCACTGCTGAACAACGCCTAAAATTGTTAGAATAGAACTTTTACTAATGTGGAAAAAATTAGCAGTAAACCAAGCATCCATTCAATATTATTAAAGTTGTAAAAAATTTTAGGGCTGAAATTGACTTTAGTCCAAACAAAGCGCACAAATTGGATGCAATCAAACAAACCGCGAAAATTAGATGCAATCAAAACAAACCCTACATGCGTTATTTGAAAAAAAAAAGTAGTATTGCACATGCACATTTAACTCGTAAAGAAAAATATCATGGCACACATCTGGATTTGTTGGTCGGGCGTGCTTGCATTATTTTTCTTTATTTTTAATCATTAACACTACCCTTTAATGACCTAGTACTTTAGCATCGAATCAATGCTCAGTGGAAAGGTAGTTGCTAAATAGAACTCTAACTCAAATGATAATAAATTATGTAGATCATTTTCTTCGATGACGTATCTGGCAAGATGCAGCGTGATAGATATGTTTACAGGTGATGTCATGAACCAAGTATAATGTACAACATAACTAAGGACAAACCATCCCGGAAAAATAGAGGTTTCCTAAAGATACTAAGATTGATTAAGGAAGCAAGCTTTTGCCACCTTCTGATCATGGGGAAAAAAAAAGAAAGCAAAAGAAAATTCTTCCTTTTGTGCTTTCATGCTGGCATCATAGAACCGTTGGCTGGCACTTGCTAATCAAACAGGATGGTTGTATAACAAAATCAAGGACCAGAACATTACTTTTACTTGTGCCATTGTTCAGATAAAAACAAGGCTTCTTCCATTAACAAAAACAAAAAACAGAGGGCTCTAGCTATATTCAGTATCAAATTATATATCAAACTATTAATTTTGGATGGCTCTACTTGCTCGGTTGTTACTTCATACTTGCTAACCATGATGTTGAGATATTTCTCTCTTTTTTTATCTACTAGAATAGAATAATAGCATCACCATCATAACACCATCCTTTTAATCTTTTGGGTTCAATTCTTTGGTTTTTCATTGAAAAAAAACATATGGATGTTTTTTATAGATAAACGTAATTTATTAATTATGATGGTTTAAATTGAAGCCAAATAATCGGTAGTGCACATGCTCCATGTTTCTTCGCCATCTATTAAGATTTGACTAATTTACTTCATATTAGTAGCAAGCTAAATATGAACTAGATAATTTTATCTTAAAAAAATGTAGTATCAAAACTTTGCTCAAGGCCGTAAATACTGGAGTATTCATTAATCATTATTCAATTACGTGTGTTTAGATAGAAATACCGTTTACGAAATAAGAGCATGTTTAGATCAATTTGCTACAGCAAATTTTTTTAGCAAAAGTTTTGGTGGCAAAAGATTTGGCATTGCAATTTTATAAGTTAGTGTTTAGATGTATGGTAAAGTTTTGCTATTAATTGCTGCTGCCTCTCTCATGCACGGGGCCGGTGCTTTTTAGCCAAATTTGCTGCTATGGACTCCCAAATGACAAATACCAACTTACCTACTTTTTGTTACTAGTATTTGGATCCATTTTACTAAAAAGTGGTCCAAAACGATAAAACTTTTATTATTTTAGAGGATCCCGCGCTAGTATTAGAGTTGCTGCATCAACGATGGTTTCCTTCACATCTTTTTTGTTAAAATTATAGAGTGATCGGCCAATTCTACGTCACTGACTGCAGGAGCTACTATACAAAGGCGTCTGGTAGAGTGGTAGAATAGAATAGACCTCCACTGGAGAGTCCTGTCTAGAAAGGAACTTTAGCTATGAGATGGGCCCTACATGTCAGCCAAACAAAACAATTGGGAAGGAGTCATCCTCGGCACCGTTACACGTGGCAGCCGAGGACAATGAGGTTGTTGGTAGCTCTCATAATAAAACCAAAATTCATGACCGTTTTATCACCTGCATGATGCCAGCCAAAAAAAAAAATTTATTCTGAGGTTTCCTCTCCTCTTCAGAGAGAGAAACTATAATTCTTCTAGCTACACATGGAATGGTACATGAAAATGATGGAAGAGGCAAATGGAAAAAAAAATGCAAAGGTATAACTATTTATATCCTCGGAAATGCTAAGGTTTACTACTTGTAAAAAAATGCGTATTATATTGCAATTATATTTGTGTTGTAGAAATATATAATAAACAGTGAAAGGAAGCTGGCTTATTGCAAAATAGTGAAGGGGCAACTTTATTAACAAGCCTCAAATCCAATATATAAAATCAATATTCGTAGACATATATTGTATGGCCTTGCGCTTAGCTCGTCCACGTGTTTTGGTATAGTTACGTTGTTCACACCGCACATCCCCATCTAATTTTGGACGGGCCCTCCTCCTCCCCCCCTCCCCCCCACACACACCCACCCACCCATCCTCGACACACATTAATTTCAACTCCTAAGCTTCTTCTGAAGCCTCATCTCTTTCGCTTCGCACATGGCTACGCGGAGTGCGCCGGCGACATGCCCCTCCTCCTTTTGCTCTGACGCCAACCGGCGATCACGCCTTGTTGTCGGTCATCGCCGAGTCTTTGAGTCCGACCATGTCGGCACCCTTCATCCACCAAGCCGCTGCCCACAGGTGTGTTCTCCCTCATATCATAAAATCTTACTAAATCCTTGTGTTGTAAGTTCTACTCTTTTTTTAGTCCCTATGTGGAGACTAGAGTCCGTCGATGAGATTCGGTTTTGTGATTTTCTATATATATATTTTTTACAATTTTAGTAGTATTAAAATTACTCAACAGGATGAAAGTGAAGAGATTAAAACACATGTTGGTTTCTTGCCTAACTGCAATAAGTACTCAATTTTGTGATTTCCTATCTTGTGTTTCAATTCCAACCATGTATTAAAATTGCTCAACTAAGATGAAGAGTAAAACAACTAAAACATATATTGGTTTTTTATCTGACCGTGGAGACGATATATCATTATACATGTATTAATTGTTATTGATATTGGCTTTGGCCTATCACCCTAATACTCCATGCTTAAATCCTAGCTCCGTCCATGGTTGTTCATGTATTTCCTAGGCCTTTTGATCAGCAACCATCCGTGCCATCGTATATCTCCTTCATTCTACTCTCTGTAGTGGCTGTTGTTGCGACTAACATGGAAGGGTCAACAGTGTGCATCTCAACTCGTGAACCATGATCCCCTTTTAGCCCTTGGCCTCTTCGCCCCCTCCTCTCCTTAGGAGATGTGTTTTTTCTCTTAAACCTCCACAACTCCTTCTCATTCCCAAACTACGTTGAGCTAAACTAGCGCCGCTCTTCTATGCCCCCTTTGCCCTAGGTGCTAAGCCATTGCTTGATGACCTTTTGTGTTGTTTTGTTCAAGTAGTAAGGGGTTGTTTGATTGAATGCCATGCACATTATTACACCACATGTTAGGCACGCCATAATTTATTGTTTATTGTTTGGTTACTTGTTTCAACTATGACAAGTCACATTTTGTTGCTCCATAGGTCTACTGTCCACATGCATGCCATACTCTTATTCTCTAGCTAAACATTACCATACTTGTGGCCAATGAATTGTTTAACACACTTTGTGTGCCGTACTACACTCGTGACAGGTTGAATAGTGACAATGCCAGCCAACGATCAAACATGCCCTAAACATGCTTGGGAGACCCTGTTTCTCCAAAAAGCTCCAAGCATTTGTAAGTTGTGCATGTATATGTCACTGTATAAGTGTATGAATCTCCCATCTATACTCTTAAAATAAAGAAAGCACCCAACACGTTTAGAGCCGCGTGACTGTTGTTCCAACTAAAAAAAAGCAGTTGTTCCAACTCAAGAACTCAATGTTGCAACATCAAGTTTCAAGTGTTGTCCAAACAAAAGGAACATCCTATTCGCTTTGTCTTAAAATATAGCTATCTTTAGCGTTATTCAAAACTATAGTTATCTTCCGCCTATTTTTTTATCTGAACCAATCACAACCATCTATCATCTAATTTCTCCAACTACTCACTTATCTCAACCAATAGCAACTATCTATTATCTAATTTCTCCACTACTTATTTGTTTCAACCAATCATATCCATCACTCATATAACTTCACGTCTATTCTTAATTGCTGTAAAAAATCCAGAAATTCTAGAAGTATTTATATTTTATATTTTAGGATAGAGCTAGCGAGTAGTATCTATGAGTTATCATTTGGCAACACATTACCATTCCAAAATAGTACTTTGAGAAAAAAAAAGGGTAATGGCTTTACTCCTTATTTAACTGTTAGCTCACAGGAATCTCCATAAGCCTTGGAAAATAGAGCAACCTATCCATAATTAGTTCTACCCTTCTCAAAAAACATAATAACCTTTGGCATACAAAATAAATCCTATTAATATATCTTCACTTACTCTACATACAACTAATTACAACCATCTCGCATTTAATTTCTCCACATATTTTTTCTTAATTAATAAATAATTGCCTCCATTTTATTTTGCCTACTTTCTTTATATTTATAATACTTGTGCCAACTTCATGAATCGCTAGGCAATTATTTTGGGATAAAACAGCAGAAGTAGAATTTTAGCATAGCCATATGCCTCTATGCACCTTCTGACTTTTCTTGGTGCATCTATCAATTTTATTGAAGATGTGACGTGTGAGTGTGGAAAGAAAGGCCAAACATTTCTTTTCCTTTATTATATACCAAAACAATAAGAAAGCTTGATTTATACCTACAAGTTTATATAGCAGGTCGCATATTTGGCAGCAAAGAGAGCATAGAGCACAGTCCTCTCCTCTTCCCCGTGCTCCCCATTTCTGCTTCTTTTCCCACAAATTTCTCTCTCTATCTCGGAAAGGATTCGGGAGACTTGAAGAGAGGAGCTCGAAGCGGGACAGGAGAGAGAGGTACATCTCTATGCGCGCCGCTGCGCTACTCCCTCCTCGGAGAAATCCCCAAATTGTGTTCTTGCATGCGTCGTCCTAGTAGCAGAGAGCTGTCCCTTCCATTTTCCTTTCATGGAGTGGATTCTTGGTTCTTGATTACGACATGCTGTGTTTGGTCCAGTTCTTATCCCCTGCGATTTTTTCCCATTTCTTTTCTCTCCCTTGTTCCACCTCGGAAATTTGGGTTCTTTTTTTCTTCTTCTTTTGATTCTTGGTTGGTTTGTGTTGCATAATTTCAGTTCTTTGTTAGGCTTGCTTCGGAGTTGTAGTTAGACATCGCAAGATGCATCCTTTCGAGGAAGTCAATGCATCCCCTGTTGTTAGCTGACCACTGTATATCGAATGCACTGTGAGTTGTGTTTTAGGCCGTGGAGTGGGTGGAAATTTGACTTCCCCATTGCAGGATTTGGTAACTTGAAGCTAAATTCCGTGTGAATTTGTGACGGTATCAAGCGATTGTGTCTCTGATAAGATTCTGAATGTGTGAACTTGCTGCGATATGTTCTGATTTACTAGTGGTTTAGCTTTTCAATCGTTATTCTGATTAAGACAAGGGACTTCTTCTGTGCATATGGATTGGCAATTTGGACTCGAGAACAATCCACTAAAAGTTGTGTAGGTTATCTCTTTATGATCTGCATGTAATAAATGTAAACCTGAGACTGATGTAGGCTACCTCTTATTCGAGAAAAAGAAAAAGAGGCTGATGTAAGCTACCTAATGTGCATTTTGTGCTTATTCCTCTTGATCAGGTTGTTTCTATATAAGAATTTTCTGTCTGTCTACTTAGGGTAGGATGCTGTGTGTTATTTGTAGTGGTACTCTTTTTAGGTTGATTTATTTGTTTTTTTATTCAGTTATTTCCTACTCTTGCAACAAGCACTTAACAACCTACTCTGCCTACTCTGTTCCTACTGAACAGTACCACTATTAAGTATTACCTTATTATGATATTAAGGTAATATCATAATTTATTTGCTTTTATGGTTCAGAATCTCATGATTCAGTTATTTCCTACTGTCTCTATTCAGTATTACAACATCTATTGTCGTTTTTTTTAGATAATTCAACACCTGAAAGTAACTATGCATAATCATATTCCAGTTAATGAGTAGAAACCTTTAATAGGCATCTTTTGATAGAAAGGATTAGAGCTAATCCTTTGATGGGCAACAAAATCCCCACCAATCTGAAGAGGTCAGGTTAAAAGCCCTATCAGTTCAATTTGCTTAAGTTAATGTTATCAACTTGTCTTGAAGGCTAATTATAGAAGTACACGAAGAAAAATGGTGCCTGGACCAAAGTGAGACCATCTCATAATGCTAATGCTTTTGCGACAAATGGAAGATCATCGAGCCCATACTACGCCCAACTATGTAAGTAGTAGTTATTGATGGTGCAACCTGGGAATTGCTGGCTTTGCTACTCCCATGAGTAACACATTTACCAGCTAGACTCTGCATGTGTAGGATTTTTTCTCTGGAGATTATCAGATGAAGCAGTTAGGTCATAAGATGTATGATCAAGATTCCCCGTCAAGCGATTCTGGACAGTCACACCAAGAAGAATCTGCCATGAATGATAGCAGTCCAAATGAGCGACATACCTCAACACAATCTGGTAATGCATGATATTTAAAAGTATTGTCATAATGGTAATCCGGTCTTAGTATAGTTTCAGATCTTATTGTCGCAACATATTCTTCGCTTCAATCATGTCTCTTTAAAACACATTTGTAGATGCTGCTTCTTGGTTGGCAATCGTTTGTCTATGGATGTAGTGCCAAGTTGAATGTATTCATGATACCAATACGTTCAATGATTATTTGCAAGCTCATCTATGCTATAGTGCAAGTGACTTTATGGTAGCTGTAAATTGTGACGAGCTGCTGTGGTCTTAGGCAACCTTTTTTCTGGATTATGTGAACTTTTCATTTGAGTTTCCACATGAAACCCATATTGGAACGAAGAGTATTATCATGTGTTTCCACATGATAATAGTTCATATGCGTCAAAACTCAAAACCATGTCATCTGTTTTGTATGTAATGCTCACGTTTCAAATTTTCCTTTATTGTTGTTATTACTATGCTTCTCACCAAACCTTCGAGTAATCTTTTGCATATTCTGAAGTGACAGTTTTGATGAGTCTGTCATTTCATTAGTGAGTTTTCCTGTTATTCCTTCTAGTGCTCAATTTACATCGATTATCTCTGTTAATCATTCCGGTGCCCAACCTAACATCTCGTTTGTCCTTTTTTCCCCCTCAGACAATGATGATGGTCATCAGATGCCAGATCAGGACAAAACAAAGTCAGTATCATCGTTGGGGAATCCAGGAGCTTTGCCTCCAAAGCTCAACTATAGCCAATCCTTTGTAAGTTCATGCAATTGTGTGGATTGTTGCCCTCTTTGAATCAAGTGTTACTTTCAGTTGACCAGCTATGTTGTGTTCTAGGCTTGTATTCCTTATACAGCTGATGCATACTATGGTGGGGTCTTGACTGGATATTCTTCACATGCAATTGTGAGTTCACTCTACCATTTCTGTTCTCACATCAAATTTGTACAATCTTTGACGATTCAAGGTGATAAGATCATTTTTCTCCCCTCTTCATCCATTTACAATTTGATGAGCATCGAAGATCTTATTCATTCTGGTAGTTAAGCAATTGTTGCAGTCGAGTATTATTCAGAAGCAAAACAAAAGAGTAGACAGGTGCTTTGAAATAAAAGAGAGGAATTTGCAGGGGACTCGTGCATCCTTTTTGTTGAACTTCATTAATATTTAGAAGGAAAAAAAATAAAACAACAAAGAGTCCTTTTAAATAAAACTTAAAGGTGGGGAGTTTGCAATTGATTCATGCATCTTTTTTAGATTAAAGATCGTAGCTTCATCGATGGATTTTGGACTTCGTACAAACCATTTCTAAGCTTATCAGCTAAAAGATGCCACCCAATCAAAACTGTCTTCCTGAGAAACTAGATGATATATTGTATAACACTTATTTCGTGCATCTTCGCAGTACATTTTTTTAAAATTTTCTTATGGCACAGCATCAACAATTTGTCATTTGTGTATTATTTACCCAGGTTCATCCCCAGCAAAATGGTACAGCTAACTCCCGGGTGCCGTTGCCTGTTGAGCCTGCAGCAGAAGAGCCAATATTTGTAAACGCAAAGCAGTACCATGCAATTCTTAGGAGGAGACAGATACGAGCTAAATTGGAGGCCCAAAATAAGTTGGTGAAAGGTCGGAAGGTAATACGAAATGTTGCAATCCTTCCTGGTACCCTTTTTTTTTTCTTTCTGCTATGAAACTGTAAAAGAGATGCTCCTGTTAGTACTTCCCTAATTTTCTTAGATACATGCTGACTGCTGCACTGCATCTTTACATATCTTTCAGCTAAAAATTCATTATCCTGCCTTGGGTTACTTAGGGAGTTATCTGTGCTCAGAGTACATCTTTATGCTATTCATTGATCAAAATATTTGGACTCAGTATGTTTAAAGTGATCACCATCCTCAATCACATGGGTGATTCATTTCTCAAGGCAAAATAATAGCTACTTACAGCTATACATTTTAACTTACAATTACCCCTGTTATAAGTTAAAAACATTTCTCCTGTCTTCTCAGCCATACCTCCATGAATCTCGGCATCGCCATGCCATGAAGCGAGCTCGTGGATCTGGAGGGCGCTTCCTCAACACAAAGCAGCTCGAGGAGCAGAAGCAGCAACAGGAGGAGGAGGCCGCATCCGGTGGCGCGAGCTCTGGCAATAGGACATGCCTTCAGAATGGCACCGGTAGCGCGCCTTCAGCTTCCTCTCCCTCTGAAATCGCGAGCGTCTCAACCAGCAGAGAATTCCTTGGTAACCATGAGCAGAGCCACTTCCCCTCAGCTGGCTTCCTTCCCACAATGAGCTTCAGAGCGCAGAATGGCGGAGATGGGAAGCTGGTCGCGAACGCCATTCACCAGCGCGTTTCCATGATGAGGTGAGGTGAAGAGGGGTGAAGTGGGTTCAGCTCAGCACCATCACTTTGGCTCTCTCCCTGCTGGTGGCAATTCATCCTTGGCTTATGAAAATACCTTATGGGAAAAAAAAAAGTAGTTTCATCCTCAAATGGACCAAACATGTGTGGCTCCATTTTAAGTTTTCCTGTAACTAAAAGCACTGCAATGATCAACTGACTGTTGGTTCTGTTTGTGGATGCTTATATCTGTACTTGCTGTATCTAATACTGAACTCTAAGTTGAAACCCTGAAACTGATGGTCCCCGTGAATATTGTAGCTTGCATTTTATCTGATTTTTAGTTCCTATCAGCTTTTGCATTCGATGTGACGACCTAACAAGTTAGAATGGTCCCAAATTTGAGTCATAGAACACGTTCTGCTGGTTAATGTGTCTCCCTCCTTCCCAAAATATAAAACACTTCTAAAATTTTTAATGGGGATTAAGCAGAAATGTAAATTAAATGAGGGATGGTTGCGGTGGGTTGAGATAAGAAAATAGGTAAAGAAATTATATGTGGAATTAACAAAATTTGAACGCTAAAATTAGTTATATTTTGGGACATAACAGAAACAGATATAGCACATGAATTAGCCACTGTCCAACAGTTAGTTGCAAAGTTAAAAAAAATAAGTGCGGTGCCATAAAAATGTAAGGTCTATGACAAAGACTTCTTGATATTAGAGTTCTAGAAAGACTGAGCACAAATATTAGAATTCTAGAAAGATTGAGCAGAACTCAGGTTTTACAAGTAGTTCTTAACTTCTTAGCAAGACTGAATCAATTTACAGGCCCATCGGTAGAAAATTTACAGCTTGGGCAAAAGTAAGCTGAAATGGAAAATGGGTGTTCTGAAATTAAATGGAAGCACTCATCCTCAGCACCATTTCGAGCCCCATCGGTAGAAAATTTACAGCTTGGGCAAAAGTAAGCTGAAATGGAAAATGGGTGTTCTGAAATTAAATGGAAGCACTCATCCTCAGCACCATTTCGAGCCTCTCGGCCTTGCGGTAGTCATTATCAGTGAGAGGTCCAGCAGGGAAAGCTGTAATCTCCAGAACTAGGTGAGGGGTAGGAAGCTCATCGAACAGAGCTCTCACATTATAGCAGCACACACTCTCGCCGTGCGCACTTTCCCTCCTTATTTGACAACCCTGATTGTAAGCAACAACATTCAGTTAGAAGAGCATCAACTTTACAATAAGAGCAAGAAACATGGCAAATATCTCAGTATTTTTTCTGAAGCACCTTGTTGTTAAATTATTAAACACTAAACATAATGGCTAGAAAGTGTATTTGCAGTGGATCATGAAAAAAATCACCTTGTGACTGGAGGCGTCCACAAAGTGGTCATCTTCGGAGAGAACCAAAGCAATTTCTTTAAGAATCCGCCGACCTTCTTCTACTGAACGAACTCGGTAAGTCCTCTTCAGCGTGCCTTTAGTTGTTGGTTTCCATTTGCTAACTAGCTTCCTCTTATCCTGGGCTTCGTTTTCTCCTGAATGAGATGAACACGCACATCATTTATCCATCTTGTGTGTGAAAATGGAAGTACTTTTGATCAAAACCATAGTCCAATACATAACGAAGCAATGGAACAGAAATCTAGAACCACCATCCAATGTTTAGCCAACAATATGTCCATGGGTGATGTCCTCATCAGGATATCAATGATAACATCTACAATATTGGATCCAAAATCGTTCTATTTACCAAAATGATGAAGGTTCCCCTTGTGAACTGCTTAAGCCTACCACTTGGGTAATGTTATGTTTCTTTCCTCCTAGACACAATCTTACAGAATTTGACACTTGAAATGTTAAATTCAGCTGGTGAGCATAACTGCATAAGCATGTTATCTGATAAAAAAATGGTTGATCCTGGCATAGTGAGAATTGACACAATGGATTCTTCGTTAATAAACCAAAGGTGATACACACCAGAAGTAGAAAACTTGGATTAACCCCACCAAATAATAGGTAACAAAGTGTCAGACTAAATAAGTTTGAGAAATGCTTGATAACACCTTTGGGCACACATCCATGCTAAACTGTTCTAGTTTGAGAAATGAGTTTCTTGCATAATACAATAACTAAGTCTAGGGAAACCTCTATACACATTTAAAGCCTGCACTGCACTATGTTCTGTGATTAGTCTGTAAACATCCAAGAGAATCTGATTCCCATATCCGTAGCAAACAAATCTTCAATACATTTCTATTCCATAATGGTATCGATCCACCAAGTCATCAACTTTTACTTTTTCTACATCTAAAAATTATAGTCCACTATAAACGACGACGGAAAACTTGCTTTTTCACACAATATCATATCATAAGCATCTCCACCTTTTTGGTCCCAAATCTAAACCCATCCAAAGATGCAATTGCATGCACTCTCTCCTAGCTAGCAGAAAGCTCGCTATCCAGATGCCCAAAGAGGAATATCTTATCCAAGATCCACATTCTCCTAACGATTACAGAATCCCACACACCTTTCGCGTTCTAATAAATCATGGATAAAATTAACTGAGAAGGAGAGATAAATCGATTTTTGAATTGAAACTGCACGAAACCTGGCGCGCCGCCGCGCAGCTTGTCCGCCCACTTCGAGAACCCTAGGTCGCTGTCCCCGGCGCCATCATCGCCAATCTCTGCACGAACACGACACGAGGCGCATCAAGAACCCCCAGCCTTTTTTCCCCCGAATCGAAACCAGCCGCGGCTAATGCAGATTACCGTGGGCGAGGAAGGGGTTGCGCGGGGAGCCGGCGAGGCCGATGTGGAGGAGCGCGTAGTAGAGGCAGAGCCTCCCGGCCCAGACCAGCACGGGGCCCTCGAGCAGCGACGCCGCGATGGGCACCACCGCGGCGGCGGCGGAGGAGAACGCGGCGGGGCGCCGCCTCGGCGTGGGCACGCGGATGGGGGACGTCGGGAGGAAGGGCGTCTTCGGCGGCGAGCGGAGGGAGAGCGGGCTGGGCACCACGGCGGCGGCGGCGGCGGGGGCGTGGAGGAGGTAGGCGAGCATGGCGGCGGCGGCGGCGGCGATATGGCTAAACTGCGGTGCGTGCGGGTGTTCAGTGATTCAGTTAGTTTTGAGGCGATTTAAAAGTGAGTGTCAGCGTTGCACGGTTGCAGTGGAGTGGAAGAAGAAAAAGATTTTTTGTTTCCTCCAAAAAAAATTTGTGGTATAAATTTTGATGAACTTTTAATAAAAAGTGAAAATTGTATGCAAAGCTCATCCAAATCTTTCTATCATTACATGGAGGTTGCAAACCATCTTTCGTTACACGGAAGACTCATACATACTCCCTCTATTCTATAAAAAAACAAATCTAGATGTGAATGTGACATTTCCTAATATAATGAATCTGGACAGGCTCATGTCTAGATTCATTGTACTAGAAAATGTTACATCCGTGTCTAGGTTCGTTTTTTCGGAACGGATGGAGTAGGTGTAAAGGAAAAAAAAGACACACATGTTGAAGATGAGACGAATTTCACAAAATTATCTACATGTAAGAAGTGTTTTGTAAAGAAAAAAGATACTTGAGTAAGATCTTAAAAATAAGCTAGGATGGTCATAAAAAGGACAATAATATTGTTAATATTAAGGGAGAAAATATTATAGGAAACGCGATAGGAGGCTGTCGAGGTTGGTTATGCACCGTATAAGACCATCCAAGTGCTCTTAAAATGCCAAAGTTGCTTTATATATATTATATATTTGCACTTTATGAACCTTAGGTTGCGAAGGACGAATATAATATCTACATTTCAATTTCCGTTTTGTCCTTCTCTGTGGAGGAGCCATGCATATGGTCATCTCAGCATCAGATAATGGCGAGGACTGAATGAGACGGAGGGCGACAGCTAGGACTAAGGGATGATAAACTCCACATACCATACCTTTCAGATGACACATGGCCATAGCTCGATCTTGTACTATTCACTCTATGATTGTGACAAGCATTTCAAGAGAACCTGAACTTGCGGCCCAGCCCAGAAAGATCGCCCCAACCAAACACAGCACACTGGCACTGAACATCAGCAAGAGACCATTTTCCAGCTGCTGTTTTTTAATAATGGAATGGTTTACATCTCCGATCCAATAAGTTCTATTGTTGAATATATATATATATATATATATATATATATATATATATATATATATATATTTCAGCTTTTGATGGAATGATATTTGACATGGCACCAGAAGAGAATGGTGCAAGGTTCAGACATCAAGATTATCTCCACTCCTGAAAGAACATCAAGATTTTCTGTGATACATTAGCAGATGAACTTTACATCTTTATAAAATTCTGTCCAATTAGGCTTTGAACAATGTACTATATTCAAAGCAACCTGTACTGCCCATGTGTGTGTTTTTTCAGTGGCTACCCTGCAGACTCAGCAAGAGACCATTTTTCAGCTGCTGATAGACTGATACTTGACACGGCACCAAAGAGATAGATGCAAGGTTCAGACGTCATGATCATCTTCGCTCCAAAAAAGAACATCAAGATTATCTGTGATATATTAGCAGATGAACTTTACATCTTTACAACATTCACAATTAGGAATTGCACAATGTACTATATTCAGAGCAGCCTGTGCCCATGTGTGTGTGTTTTTGAGTGGCTACGCTGAAGACTCCCCCTCCCCCTCACCCTCACCCTCCTCTTCCTTCCAGACAGGGAGGATCCCTTGGCCAGCCAGCCTCTTGTAAACCCAGAACACCACATACTTGGCGTTTGCTCTCTTCTCGTCGATCAGGAACGGCTCGATGGTGCTCACTTCTGTGCTATACGATGACAGCGCGAAGCCCTTCGGTCCTGCGTTAATCGTCGAGATGAATGATACTGGTGTAAACATTTCAAGCTATTCAATAAGCTATGCGCCCATATCTTTGATGATGATGCAGTGTTGCAACTTGCAAAATATGCTTCTGCAATCCTACTTAAGTACTCTGTACTCTGCATAACTGGTCTTTTACACCTAGATGCACTATATTGTAGTCTTCAGAATGCGGATTTATACCTAAATAATACGCTACATAGCAGCCTTCAGAACACGGAATATCAAGTGATAGTAGTTTACAGTTAAAAATTCAAAAGGTATGAAATATATAGGTTATGTGAATGCATTGAGGTATTGTCCTGCTTATGCCTCCCAACGGTATTCTCAGCAAGAAAGCAGCAATTTTTGTATGAAGAAATGAGAAAGGTGCAGGAGGTAGCTTGTACCTGTGAGGTCTCCATTTGGAAAGAAGGCCCAGAAGTAATAAGGCACTTCATCCTTTATGAAGGAACCCTCCAACTGCATTCATCAAAGCAAGGGTTAATAATGTCGATATATATGTAATAACGCAGCATAGCAGAAATGTTGGTATGAATTATCAATTATCTAGAAAAAGCAGAAATATTTGGTCATTATCATTCCTTGTAGGCTGTAGCCTTATTGTACAAAACTATCACAGCCTAAGCAAATGTTTTTAATTTCCTTCAGAAATTCCTACATCATCAGCAATGCTATTGTTCAGAACTAGGCTGAATCAAATTTAAAAAAAGCAATGAGAAACCTATTCCATGTAATTAAATTTGACTTGTTTAACATTCATCGAACAATTAGCTATGCTATGCTGAATTGCTTTATACCATCTGTAACTCTGTAACTTATACCAAGTTGCTAATTTACACGTTTCAGTACTAATCAGTAATCACAAAATCAACAAGCTTCAGACAACAGTACTTATGAAACAGTTAGGGATGCTAATATGCAGTGTGATCACTTCCCTATTATCATCTCCGGCACTAGTCGGCACACTCACCCTATTATCTTCGAAGGAGAGCTCCACTTGGGACACGTCGTCCTCAGCCTCCAGAGCTGCCTTCAGCGGGGGGATGATCTCCTCCTGCATCATCTCCGGCAGCGGCTTCACCGGAGGCTTCTTCGGCTTCGCGGCCGGCTTCGCTGCGGGCTTCGCCTCCGCGGTGGCTTCCTTCTTGGCATCGGCCGCATCCTTCTTCTCACTGACTGCACACCACACCACAAATCCATAGTAACCAAAAGATCAACAAAATAAGTGCAACTTTTCAATGGCAAAACGCAAAACATTGGCATGGTGCTACTATGGCAAACATTTGACTGATCTAATCAACACTGATGCGTTTCTTTCCTAATCTTATAAAGGATTTACAGTAGCTAAGCAATTGGGGGCGGACCAGTCGTGGCGGCGGCGGCGGACGACGACTCCTGCACGGCGGAGCAGGAGGCGCCGGAACCGGAGCCGGAGCCGGAGCCGCGAGGGAAGGCGACGAGGAGCGGCAGCCGCTGCCGCCCGAAGACGAGCGGGATGGCGGCGGAGCACTTGCACGCCGCCGCGTGCCGGCCGGCGAGCGGGCTCGGCCTCACGAGGCGTAGTGGCTGGGACGCCATGGGAAAATCGGGCGGCGACGCCGATGAGGTGACCGTCTAAAGCTTTCGTTCTTGGCAGGCAGTGGCTCGCCGTGGCCGTGGTGGTGGTTGCCTTCCACTGATTCAGTTGGATGGCATTGGTTTCCCGCCACAACTCGCTCTATCTGCTCGGAAACTGGAGCTCAGTGGCGAGGCGCGAGCAGCACGATTGCCTGAGAGCCAGCCATTCGTTTCATTATCTCTTTGCCGTCCGATCACAACCAACGGTTCGGATTAGTCGCTACAGCTGGAGAAACAATAGAAAGAGAACTTTTTTGGGATTTGCTAAAAATATGTGGCCAGTTTTTTTGTTAATGAACTAATGATTCACTTAGGGGAAAAATACTAATTTATTTGTTCCAAATCGACTTGGAAAGAAAATACTCCATCCGTTTCAAATATAAGACTTTTTGACTCTCTCTAAATTTAACTAATTCTGTAGAAAAATATTACTATTTTTTTCCTAGATAGTTAGTCAAACTTAGATTAGTTTGACTTTGACCAAAGTAAAAAAGTCTTATAAGCTAAAACAGAGGGAGTCATAACTTTGTTCTAGAATATAATAAGTTTTATAACTATAAATCTAAACAAATGCATGTTAAGATTATAATAAAAATACTATATTTTGAGATGGGTTGAGATGGGATAGTATTTAGATTTTCCAAAACATCTAATTTACAAACAAACTCCGTATCTCACAACAAACCCTATTTTTACTGCCGAAAATACTTCCCAGTTTGTGCTTTGTACTTGACTTGGTGAAAATTGAAGCGGTTTGCGGGGGAGGGGCGGAGATGCAACGGCCCCGTCGGACACGGCGGAGGCGCCGCGTAGCCGAACACCACCCCGCCCGCCCGCGCGTCGTTTCCCATCCATCCCCTTCCACCCATGAAACTGACAAGTGGGCCCAGGTGGACCCCACCTCTCCACCCACACCACCCCCATGGCCCCACCAACCACGTCCACCCTCTGGGCCCGGTCCACGCTGTACGCGCGAGCAACACGGCACGACGACCCGGCACCGTCTCCTCTACACTAGGCGGATGATCTCCCACGTCACTGCTCTCACACCCGCCGTCCGATCTCCGCTCTCCACGATCCGCGCCGTCCATACAGGGCATCACGGGCATAGCGTGCCTGCGCGGGGCCAGAGGCCAGAGCTATCTGTAGACACGGACCACATGGTCAGACGAGCGTAGCCACCCCAACCGGGGCCCCACCTCCCAGTCGCCGTACGTGACATGGACCCGGTGCACGTGATTCACCGCTCGAAGCAGAGCTATCGTATCACTGACTTGTGGGGCCCGACGATCACCGTGGTGGGACCCACACCCAAAGTATGCGTCGTCTCTAGGCGCGTCGCCCATTCTTTAATTCGGATCCCGCGGCAGAGAGACGTGTCAAAGTTGGGGAGCCAGCTGGGGGTGTGCGCCTAATTCAAGCCGGTGGGCCCCCACCAACGACGAGGAGGGGGAGGGCAATACCGTCATTTCAAGAGGGAGAAGCATCCAAGGAAGAAAAGAAGGCATCCATCCAAATCCGGCCGAATCTCCTCTCCTCCCCTTCGCCTCGAGCCGCTCACCGACAACGCGCACCCACCCACCCACCCACCCACCCACTCCCGCGCCGTGGTTCACCTCACCACCCGGTCCAGTTACCACCCGCCCCCACCACAACAGAATTGCCTGCGAGTGGGGCCCGGTGAGCAGTGAGAGAGGAGGACCCATGCCGTGAGCCGTGGACACGGGCGCAGCCGCCGCGGGCTGTGCTGCTGCATCTGCTCGGTCCAAAAATTGGTAAAGAAATGGCTCTTACTGCTGCGAGCACCGGGAGCCCAGTTGCCCGCCCTCTCGCCCACAGAGGTGGCTGGTTCGTTGGTTGGCCGCGGACGCCTCCGCATCGCTGCAACCACAGCCGTTTCACCTATCTCAAAGCACGCAGCGCCCGCGTACAGAAGCCCCCCCCGGGGTGGTGGCACCGTCGTCCACACTCCCCAGTGAGAAACTCTTACCACACACAGCAACACAGTTCAACCAACTAGGGCAAAAGTATAAAAATTCAAATTGGAGGGGGAGCAACGGCTACTGAGGGTGAGGGGGCATTTGAAAGGGGGGGCATTTCCCGGGCTTTTCCTTTGGAGGGAAACTACAGTTTTGAGAGTTGGCAATACATCGGCTACACTGCCAATGTAACAGAAATTTGAAAGGGTGGAGGGAAACCTGGGGCTTGTAACTACCATTTGAAATTCTGGAGGGAAAAAAGAAAATCAAAAGAGATGGTGCAGGCTAGGGAGACAATGAAACTGAAACTGAAACTGAGCTGCCATGGCTACTTGCTAAGTTGCTACACAGGTATCTCCATTTTCCCTCCTAAAATCTGATGTTTGAAGAGGAAGGCTGGATGAAGAAGCTCTCTCTCAATCCAAAGTCTTTACAAGAAAAACGCTAAGAAAAAACAGGGGGAAACCCACCATTTCTGTTTGCTGATGCTCCTGCTGCTGCTTGCTTGGTTCTTTCTAGCTGAGAAGAGGGGGAGGAAGGGATCCATGTACATTGCTGCTTGGTCAGTGGTGCTTGAAGGGCCTCAGGTCCTCGACACCATCATCGTCCTCGTCGTCATCTCCACTGCCTGATGGATCATCATCTCTCTTCCGCTTAGCGCCCTGCGAGGACGAGGGCAGGTCCGTACCACCATCATCATCGTCATCAACCTCATCTCTATCTTCATCAGCATCATCAGCCTCAGCTGCATCAAAGTCGTTTCCAACCGCCATGGCCTGAGGTTGAGCAATTGGTTGAACAAGATATTCTGTGTCTTCATCCTGAGGAAATGCAAAATTGGATGAATTCTCATTAGACCTGTGTTTCCACAATTCTGCTTTTAGAGATAGTCATTAACAGGAAGGACATTCTGGAACAGGGTTTAGAAAAACCTCAAACATAAAAGTCATGTGTATCATAAACAGCTCACTAAGTGAAATGCCCAAAGAGTCAAACAAATTACTCCATGATTTATAGTTTTAACATACATGCAGCAATAAATTAGCAATGAAAAACATAGGCAAAGTAACCATGCAATTGCTGAAATACAATAAGCGTCTCTACCACTGAAAGAAAATATGTATGGTTTCAAAACCATAGTAAACATCAGCAATATTTACATCAAAAGATCAACTTAACAATAAATTAAATGTCCTATAAGCAAGAATAGCACACTAAAACAATAGTGAAAGTAAAAAAGCAGTATCAACCACCTCTCGAAGGATTTAAGAAGATGAAATTCAGAAAGGAAGGCCTTCTCGTTACACAATGAACAAAACAATGGGCCATAACAAGCATGACAGGAGAAAATCTATCTACAAGGATATTTAGCAGCGAATAAATTGCACAGTTCACAAATGAGAGAAGAGCTTCTACTGGCCAGATAACATAGGCAAAAACTAAAGCATGTTCTCATGGATAGAAGAACTACAGGTCTGTACACACTTACACAGTCAGGGATATATAATGAAATAATGCATTATTAAGATAGCCCCAAAAGAAATAAATGCATGACAAAACATCTGGCACTACTAAAACAGAAATATATCAATAAAAATTAGAGTAGAAACACTAGTGATTTACTAAGCATACATAGATATGGATATCAAATAAGGTAAAAAGAACATATAAAATCCCAGGTTTCATAGATGTATCAGTTTTTTTCTTTTAAGCAATTGCCAAATTTAAAAACTTCAGATGCAAAATCTTTTGTTATATCCGAAAATAGGGCATAAAAGAGATAACTAAAACCTTCTCTTTCTTCTACATGAAGAAACTAAACTCTGCTGTCATACAGTATCTATCTAATCATATCTGAAACACTAATTTCTCACATTTCCTGTCATTTTTGGGTCTAACTGGAATTTTCAAAAAGATTGTGCACATAGCTGCAGCATATCAAACAAAGTACTAATGCACAACTCATAAAATCATCACACGGATACATTAGCCAATAATGATAGAGCGCACACATAAGTCTCTGAACTGCTCCTATGTATCACACTCAGTAAATGAGGTAAAAATGATTTTATCCCTGCTGCTAAGTAACTGAGGTAAAGAAGATTATCCCTGACACTATTTCAGAGTGTAAAACATCACCAAAAAGGTGATTGTGGAAAGGAAACCTAACAATTGAAGTTATCTACTTCAGCATGACAAAAAAAATGTTGCACTTATAATAAGTAGACTAAACAAACACCCACATAACTAACGCACGAACTAGTAAATCCCCTGAAAAAAAAAAGAACCTGCAACTGAGAATGGTTAATATCAATTTTACTAGAACATGAATATAAACGACTACCGATGCTACCGTTACTACGAAACATTGCAACGAATAGCAAAGACATCACCAAAAAGGTGATTGTGGAAAGGAAACCTAACAATTGAAGTTATCTACTTCAGCATGACAAAAAAAATGTTGCACTTATAATAAGTAGACTAAACAAACACCCACATAACTAACGCACGAACTAGTAAATCCCCTGAAAAAAAAAAGAACCTGCAACTGAGAATGGTTAATATCAATTTTACTAGAACATGAATATAAACGACTACCGATGCTACCGTTACTACGAAACATTGCAACGAATAGCAAAGATCTTGATACGCTTGCGAGAAATTAATGCAAAATGTGTTATACCTCATCATCCACATCCTCCTCGTCGTCATCATTCCCCTCCTCATAAACCCTATCATCCTCCAATCTCTCCTCATCTTCCTCTCCAATCTCACCGTTCTCATCCTCATCTTCCCCCTCTCCGTGCTCATGCCCATCAATCTCTTCTCCAACGTCCCCCACCGCCAAAGCGACCCTCCCGCTGCTCTCTGGCTCAGCCTCCTCACCATCATCCTCAACCTCCTCTTCATCCTCGTCCTCCTCCTCATCCTCTTCCTCGATGCCGTCTTCCTCCTCATCACTGCTACTTGGTACATCATGCACCTCAACAACAGCGTCTTCGTCATCACCATCCTCATCGATCTCCTCCCCCAAATCATCCTCCTCCTCATAGTCTTCCTCATCATCATCGTCTTCCTCCTCCACATATTCATCCTCGTCCCCAACGGCCGCGACCCGAAACCCATTAGCGTGGTGTTCGTCTCCCCCGTTCGGGACGACCTCGTCGGCGTCGCTCTCGTCCTCGTCCACATCGATCACACCGTTCACCTCCACCGGGTGCGACGCCACGCCACCGCGCGGGTGGGAGACGCCTCCGTTGGCCACCTCGCCGCTGCCAGGATCCTCATCCTCGTCATCGTCGTCGTCCTCCTCCTCCTCGCCGTCGCCGTCGCCATCCCCGTCGTCGTCGTCGTCATCCGACTCCGGCCTCTCGTTCTCGTCGGCGTCCATCTTGTCGAGGTACTTGAGAGTCCGGATCATGCCGAACACCTTGGATCTGTAATCCTTGACCCGCGTGACGGGGCACTCGTAGAGGTCGAGCGAGACGAGGCGGAGGTTGGCGAGCGGCGAGAGGTCGCCGACGTCCTGGATTCGATTGTTGCTGAGGTCGAGGTCGCGGAGCGAGGCCAGCCCGGCGGCGACGAGGTGGTCGAGGCCGCCGGCGATGCGGTTGTCGGAGAGCGTCAGGCGCGTCAGGTTCCGCAGCCGAGGGAACCCGGCAAGCGACGCGACCCCGACGCCGGCGATCGACAGGTGCTCCAGGCTCTGGTACCGCTCCAGAATCTCCGCCGCGGGCAGCCGTCCGTGCAGGCACTTCACGGCGCCGTCCAGCGTCAGGCTCCTCGCCGGCGACGAGCTCCCCTCTCCGGCGGCCTGCAGCGCCGCCTCCACCGCCCTCTCCCACGCCTCGTCCATCTCTTTCTTCCCTTTTTTTTCTCCTCTTTTTTTCTCCTATAAAAAATAAATTATTTTTTTCCGGGGTGTTTGGTTTCGAGAGGATTTGAAACGGAGAGATATATACGGGGCAAGGGTGTTTACCTCCCCATTGGAGGCGGTTCACGGGGCGCACCGTGGACTCGGTGCAGGGGAGAGGTGGGGGGATCGCGGGTTGTATACGCAGCCAATGGGAGGGCTCGGATCGGGAGGTGCGGATCGATGACGTGGCGGGATCCGAGAGGCGTGTGTTTCTTTTGAGAGGAGGGGGGGAGCGCGGCGTGGAGGCGTGGTGGGCTGGATGATGCCAAAAGCATCTCTTTTTTTTCTCGCTTCTTTTTTTTTCCTCTTTTGTTTCTCTGGGTTTTTTTTCGTATCGTTTTCTTTTAAGGGGCAAAGATATTATTAGTTAATGGATGGAATCGCTTTCTCACGTGTGGGTTCGAGCGGGTGGGTGACTGACAATGTGGGGACGGAATGCGGTGGGACCCACGTGGAGGCTGATGGAGGGGTGTGGGTCGATTTTGTGGTTGTTGTGGATTCGTGGCCGTCCGTTTTGGGGTGGGGAGAGGAGGACCGTCGGATGATCTGTGAGGAGATAGGCGCGACCCAGTTGGGGTGCAGACTGGCAGTGGGGCCGGAGGCGGCTGGCACGGGTTTGATTTGGACCCGGGGCCTCGCGTTGGAGTCGTGCACTACTCTTGTTTGGTTTGCAATATTGCTCAAATCACGTTTAACGCTGCGCTACTGCTTCATGTTTGATTGATTGGTAATTAAAAGACAAATATTAGGAAATGACTTAATATCAAATAATTAGAATGGGTAATACTTCAAACCCAGATCGGCTAGTTGAAAGACCTAGACGTTTAATTATCAATTAAAATTATGCCATCATCATGTTTACGTGTGGCTTCACTACATAGTAACATGTCCATATTACAAGTGTGTTAGTAGTAATTGTTTTATGTAAAAATATTCAAGAAACATAAATAGGTTGTATAGCAAGGTAAAACACACATACAAAAGTATTTCAGCGCTTCTATGTAGGATATTATTGAGCACTTGCTATGTCTTGAAAAAGTTGTGTAGTAGTAGTAGCAATTTGTGCTATGACTACGTTGATGTGCAGGGGCTCAATATGCATGAGAGAGACATGGCAAAGGTTCTTTGAGAGAAAAAGCGCCTCATCTTTTTACTTATATTTATAATTATCAACCAAAATTTGAGTTTTCAACCCTAAATTTGGAGCTAATTTTGACGGTTTTTTATTGAAGTTTATTTTTCAATCTTTGATTTTAGATCGCTATGTTGTTTCGCTTATTCCGCGAATAAGTGAAACGATGGCTCTGAAAGATGCAATTTAGTTTGGCTATCATGCAGCAATTTGGACATGAATAAATATAGATTCAAGACAATTTGTAACAGTGTTAGCGATATAGATATATGGCTAATGTATAACTAGCGCATTGGCCAATAGCTTCTCCTCCTTTTTGAGCTGATCTGCCACGAGTTACGTAGTGTTGTCTTCATATAGCTACGCCTCCACCCACGTATCCAACCTCGTTGTGGGTATTTTGCTTATACGGTTATAACACATAGAGCCTTCATGTAGTCACCATTGATGTGTGATCGATAATCGACCCGCTACTCTAGTCTGATTGCTAAGATATATTAGCTTCACCATCAAGTCTACCCATAATCCATTAAGTTTTGTCTAACATACAGTGACACTATTACATTACCTTGTCATCCATTCATAGTCTAATTGTTATGCCATCTTTTATATAGGCATCAATGTGCTCTCCCTCTCCCTCTTCCTCCTCAACCCTAGCTACACTCCTATGACTGGTGTACTTGTTACTTCAGTCCAATCGATGAGCTAACGAGTGGAGTTAGAAGGTATGGGCAGCGTGTAGTTATATGTACTGTCCATGGTGAGACACAAATTTTCCAATAGGAACTCCTTATTGAAAACTATATAATGGGCATAGTTTATTGTTGGTAAAACATGATCACGTCAAAATGTATGACTATTAGTAGGCAAAATAAACGGCCACAACAATTAGGGATATGTTATGAATACATCTTCTGCTATGTACACTGCCTTATATAATAGCCACTACAATGCTATGCACGGATTGTGGTACAATGGTTCATAATCATATTATGTAATCCGGTTACTCTAATACGTTTATCTTCGAATAAATTAAGGACTATCGTAATGATGAACATTTTTAAGTTAGTTGGAAAAAAATATGTTCCATGGATATCGTTAATAAGAAAATAACATCAGAGGGACAAGAATAATGATACGATGTCATCGTCTGGGAGATCAACACGTAGGATATTTGTAATGTGGAGGGGGAAACAAAAGATAAAAGAGCTACTTCCTCCGTTTGATAATGTAAGTCATTCTATCATTTCCTACATTCATATTGATGCTAATGAATCTAGACATATATATCTATTTAGATTCATTAACATCAAAATAAATGTGGGAAATGCTAAAATAACTTACACTGTGGAACAGAGGGAGTAGAAGGGTACCGCATGTTAATTAACAAACGATATAACATACATGTTGATAACATATACATTTACAACAAAATCATTATTAATTGCTCCATTGCAAACCATTTTGTATGTGATTTTTTTTATATATCTTGTGTTAGGTAGATGTGACAAAATTTTATCGACAGAATCGTTTGAAACATTGTTGTTCGTTTACTCCCTAGATCGATGCACGCAGGACTCTATAGTCTCTCTAGTCAGGACCCATGGAATTTCCCTTTTTTTTTCTTAAAAATGGAAAATGGACCCGGGGACAGCTAAATGCCATGCTTATTTTGCTGTGTGTTAGTGCTAACAAGGATGATTAGCGCTCATGACAACCAATGAGGAGAGAGCACTCTAACAGATAAACTGTCCCCTCTTTTTCTATATTCCCTTCATTTCATATTATGAAACATTTTATTTTTAAAATTTAATATTATTTAAATTTTTACCAAATTTATAGAGAAACTTAGCAACCTTTTCAACCCAAAACGAAAATACTATTAAAATATAATGAGTAAACTTCTCTTCGGGCTACCTTTTGTTACCGATGTTTCACTTTGGACCACCCTTTAAGCAATATTTTCACTTTGGACTGGGTAAACCTGCCTTTTGTTTCACTTTGGACCACCCGACTCTCTTCTCAAGCATATAAACGATCTCCATTACATCGTCTCATACTCGTCAATGAGCTGCCACAGCTATATGTAAGACTATTTCTTCAACATATTACAAGTTGGATGTAGATGAATAAAAGAGTAAGGTTGGTCCAAAGTGAAATAAAGGTAAAAATATCCGGTCCAAAGTGAAAACATTAGTCCTAAGGTGGTCCAAAGCGAAACATCGGTAATAAAAGGTGGCCCAAAGTAAAATTAACTCAAATATAATCAATGTTAGATTCAATGAAACTAATGTAATGTTGTAAATATTGTTATTTTCCTATAATTTGATTAAATATAAAAAAGTTTGAATTAGAAAAGGTCAAAGAATGTTATAATATAAAATGGAAGGATTATTATATACTTGTAGATTTCTCCGTTTAGACATTTGATTTTCAACATACCCTCTTTTCTACACTTTCTCTTGTACGTGAGTGATGTGCCATTTGGTCACATCAAAAGAACATGTGAGCGTCCACCACATGTTTTTTTCTCATAAAGATACATATTTTTTTCTCGATTTTCGTTAGCACGTTTTTTAAACCGTACGACTACTTTTTATATAGAAATTGCTTTAAAATATTGAATATATTAATTTATTAAGTTTAATAATAATTAAAACTTAATTAATTATGTCCTAGTAGCTTTCTCGTTTTACGTACGTTGAATTCATTTTTATCTTCATCAGTTTTAAACAGTGATGCACTAGCCCAGTAGCCCATCACTCCGGCAGATTGAACGGCCCATCCAGCTCGGGCTCAAATCCCACGAGCCCAACATCTCGGCGGCGGCGGTCGCCCTCCTCTACCGGTGCCACCAAGCACCAACAAGCGAGATTCCACGTACGCCTCTTCGTCGCCACAAAGCACAAAATAACCGTACTGCTTTAATTATGCTCCTGCTGCGAGTCAACCAGCACCAATCCACTGTTTAGCTTTCTGATGTACAGTGACATGTCCGATATCACCATCACCTGGCTGGCAAAATCTGACTTTGTTCTCTTAGCACGTGTATATTTGTACTCCCTCCGTCCCAAAAAAACAAATCTGAGTTTTCGTGTTCAACGTTTAACCATCCGTCTTATTTGATAAAATTATGAAAAAAATTAAAAAGACAAGTCACGCATTAAATATTAATCATGTTTTATCATCTAACAACAATGAAAATACTAATTATAAAAAATTCATATAAGAGGAACAATCAAATGTTGAACACGAAAAACTAAGGTTTGTCTTTTTTTTTTGGACGGAGGGAGTATGTTAAGATTCAGTGTATTTTTGGTCCGTTCCTTTGCTTTGATACGTCACACTTTAGTCGTCGTGCACTCGTACCATTGTTCTTTACTTTCTTTTTTAGAAGCATGTCTTTACTTCGTTACCACATTTACGTTATAACACATTTTCTTAACTTTAGATTCCACCTTCGTTACCACATTTACGTTATACCACACTTTTTAACTTTAGATTCTACCTTAATTTTAGAGTAAAGTATTGTATGGAGTAACACTTTTGACCAATATTTTTCTCGTACTTCATACTATAATTTACCTATGCTTAGTCGTGGCACTCTTAGGTATCACCACCAATATCCCCTTAATGCATTCTAGCAGACGAATAAATACTAGTACTTGTTAAGGATGTGCTTGTCTACGGATTAATAAGCCTGGCTTTTATTCATAAGTAAAAACTATACCCTCACTGTCTAAAAAACCCAACTTCTAAATACACGTTTGGATAAGAATTTGTTCAAAGGAGTGGGTGTGCAGGTGGAGGCAGAACATGGGTAAACACATATGCTGCTGGCCTCACTGCTCAGCTCTCCGAACTACTCACTCCGTATTTTTAATGTATGACGCCGTTGACTTTTCGACCAACATTTGACCATTCGTTTTATTCAAAATTTTTGAGCAAATATAAAAATATTTATGTCATGCTTAAAGGATATTTGATGATGAATCAAGTCATAATAAAATAAATGATAATTACATATTTTTTTAATAAGATAAACGGTCAAACGTTAGAACGTTAGACAAAAAGTCAACGGCGTCATACATTAAAATATGGAGATAGTACTAAGTTACTCCTGTCAGGAACTTACGAACTCCTCGTTTCTCATATGCTTATACTTATAAGTCAATATTTTTTTTAATTTTAAGTTAATTTTATGGTTTTCTCATTACACTTTATTTTATTTTACAACATTTATATCGAATCGTCAAGAGTACATATATATAAAAAGTTTTATTTGTAAATTATTTTTCGAGTTAATAATAAACTGTTTGGGTATGCATATATATACGTAAGTGAAATGATGAGGCCGATACAGGAGTGTGTACAGAGAGATAGATAGTCTACAGAGTAATTTGTCCTGGATCTTCTGATGAAGCAAATTCCAACTCGCTCATGCTAAATTAGAATACTCTACATTTGATAGAGGATTCGGATCCTCGGATGTAAAGTGAGATAAACATTGTCACTGACGTATAGACTCCACCATGCATCCATGGACCAACATGATAGTGACTATGTCAGGGAAAAGTTCACGTCAGATGATCCATTTCCTTTCGTATATTGGACTTCGTATATTGGACAGGAGCAGGGTTTACCAAACCATTTTAGATAGGTTACCATCATCTTGCGGTTTGATGGTTATCACAAGGTATACCGTGGTTTCAAAACCGTGAAATATACCATGGTTTCAAAACTAAAAAGGTTACCGCAGGTGATAACCGTGCGATAACCACGCGGTTTTGTAAACCATTGACAGTGGTCACCCAATTTGCCTTTTTTTTTCATGTCGTTATTTAGCACAAACCCCCCTATTTGGATCGCCACCATTTTTCAGAATAGACCTGAGTTATTCTATTTGTTTCATCAGGAAAAGAGAAAAAGGCCTATATGTGCTGGATTTGATTCTAATTTGTCATGGAAACAAGTTGTGCAGCCGAATTGGAGGGGAGGAGGAGGAAAAATATAGAGCCTAATTTTATGTTAGGTGGTGAATTCATCCCAAATTCAGAATTTCTGATATTGTCATCGAAGGAAAATAGTATTGCAAACCGTGCTTTTGCATGTGAGTTTCTTGTTGCTCTGATTGTTGATCTACCACTAATAAACAGTAGAAAATAAACTAAGCAACCCAAAAAATTTATATTCAAAACATTATATGTGTGTTCTTATCAATTTAAAAGCTAATGCTGAAAAATAAACTACAACAAAGAAAACCTTAAAATCAACTTTGAAATTAAGTTTTTAGATTCAAATTTTTGCTACAACTGATAAGACAAGCAGACGATCAGCTCCACTTCAACTTATCTGCTACAACCAAAAATTAAATTTTAATTTTTAATTTGAGTTGATTTTAGTGTTTTCTCATTGTATTTTTTTTCAGCATTGACATTTAAACTTATCAGTCATAGCCCAAATTTAATTTTTAGATCTTAATGAGATTTGATTTTAATGTTTTATCTAGTTTATTTTTCAACTATATATAAAAATTTTACTCATAAATTATTTTTTGAGTCGCTGATAAGCATCACAACTTATAATTAGTTGTAGGTGAAACGATGAGACTAGATGAGAGCTTTTCAACAGGCACTGGCTATTTCACCCATAACGTCCAATACAAATGAAATTTCAATAAACAACACCAATATAAATGCAAAATATTATCTCATACTTCCTCTGTTTCACAATGTAAGACTTTCTAGCATTGCCTACATTCATTTAGATGTTAATGAATCTAGACGTATGTATGTGTTTAGTTTCATTAACATCTATATGTATGTGAGTAATGCTAGAAAGTCTTACATTGTGAAACGAATGGAGTATTTGACTCCATGTTGAAGCTTAACAAGCAAAGAGGCCTCCATCGTTTGCCCAAATGAAATCAACCATGGCTAAAATTTGAATTTTAAAACTTGATTTAAAATTTTCATCAAAGTTTATTCTTCACCATGACCTTTTAACTTGATAAGAACACATATATAACAGTTTTATCAACAAATTATTATTATCGCTAATATGTTATATGGTGTATTATTGGCTTATGCCTTATGCCGATCAATGGGGACAAAAGTTGCAAAATATGTATATCCATGGTTTTAAAATCCATTTGGAATTGCCACCCTTTGAACACATTGATTCCAAATGGGTTTCTTTTAGTATGAAAATAGTTCAAAAAAATATTGTATAGACAACAAGGGCATATTCTATACTACTTCCTCCATTTCACAATGTAAGTCATTCTATCATTTCCCACATTTATATTGATGTTAATGAATTTAGACATATATAACTATATAGATTCATTAACATCAATATGAATGTGGGAAATGGTAGAATAACACATTGTGAAACGGAGGAAGTACTACCCTTCGTCCAAAAAAAAACATGGCTGTGTATATGGACATACATACATATGTCCAGATACATAGTTAGGATACGCATGTCTGTATACATAGCCAGGGTTTTTTTTTATGAAGAGAGTGCATGTTTCTAACTTCTACTCCTTCGTTTTCCGCTCACACGCTTTTCGAATTGCTAAGCATGATTTTTTCTAAAAAAAATATATATGTAAGAAAATTGCTTTAAAGAATCATATAAATCCTTAACACAGCAAAGTCAGCAATTCCATAAGGAGTTTTTAGAATGAAATATGCTAGTTCAAAATCTTCCGAATCAATGGAGCAAAAATTCTTTTGATTCAGAGAAGCACAAAAGTTTCCCGGATAAAATGTGAACAGTTTTTGTGCCAATTTGTTTGATTGAGTAAAGCATAAATCAAAGGTGTGAAGAAGCACTTGGTAATTTACGGATGCTTTAAGCTTTATAATGTTCTCAGTTTGTTTGCATGCATACTGTAACAAGAAGGATATAGTAGCACATCTGCACAGCGAACAAAATTGCTTCAGGGAAAATAAGGCACTTTGCTTAGACCAAATGTTATTACATTTCACACATTTGGACCAACTCAAGCATACACATGTTTGGCCTGCCTACAATGGAATAGCTATCTTTTTTTTGTATATTTCACATTCTAGGAGATATCAAAGGAGAATACAGATTATTGTGTAACTACAGATATCTTGTATGATGGTTTCTATCTCCTCCCAGGGAGGATGTGATTACAGCTGCTTCTTAGCCAGATTTCTGCTTTGCTCAATATAAGGGTGAACTCTTTGGTACTGTAGTATGGCCCAGACAAGGTGCTTGAAAGAGAACTCCGGCCAAAGAGGGTCTGGATTCTGCAAATGACTGAACGTCGTCTGCCACAGAAGGAAATTGCTCAGGCGAGTCTCGCCTGAGGTCCGGATCACAATATCAGGATCGGGGCAACCAGCGCTGTACATATGGTGGTCCAGATCTGCCACTGAAATATCTGAATGCACACCATTATTCGCAACACTGTCAACATCCTCCCTCTGCAGTATATCCCTCCTTTCTGCACAGACCTTATTGACCGCAATGACAATCTCAGAAGTGGAGTTGTATGGCATGCAAACAGAGAAGACCAGTCCCTTGTTTTCAGCAGTGCTAACCATCAGTTTCTCAGCTGCTACCCTCACCGGTTCGCTCAACATGTCCAACTTCCCCCAGAAGTTGATCTTACAGTTAACCTTGTTGATGACATTTCTGTTTTCTAGCAGTTCATTGATCTTTTCCTCCATTAACTCCATCAAGGATTTCACCTCAGTCAGATCTCGCTTAAAATTATCGATGCTAAATGCATACACTGTGATATACTTCACGCCCATTTCATAGCAGTAGAGTAGGCTGGCAATGAGAGCAGAGAAGCCCATCCTGTGACCAGAGCCTTCCTGGATACTCCTGAATTTAGCATATCTACGGTTACCGTCCATAATAAATGCAATATGTTTAGGCATTGGGCCATATGAGAGGACAGCTACGATGCATTTGCGGATAAAGTTTTGCAGACTCGCAAGGACACCAGTCGCAATTAACTCATCAGGGTTCTCCGTCTTTGGATTCTAAATGAAAAAAGCAAAACAGAAGTATACGAATATCAGCGAATGTCAGCAATAAGCACAAAAAAAAAGTCACAGATCTTTGATTATCTTTACATGACTAATAATGTTTCCACCTGGGTACTTGTTCAGCATAAGAGATTAATCTATATATCACTGCATATGAATCTAAAACTTACCACTGAAGGTGAGTAAGAGATAAGTGAACCAAGCATTTTGATGGGGAGGGACCAACAGGCAGTATCAGGCCTGCAAACTGGAAAAGACATAAAATTTTCAGACTTGCTTGCTCTGATCAAGAAAAAGGAGCAAGCGTTTGCCATTGGAACAGGATACACAAAGAAGCTATAGATTGCTACTCCATCCGTTTCACAATGTAAGTCATTCTAGCATTTCCCACATTTATATTGATGTTAATGAATCTAGACATATATATCTATCTAGATTCATTAATATCAATATGAATGTGGGAAATGCTAGAATGACTTACATTGTGAAATAGAGGAAATATCTGCTATTTTAAGTATGTTTTCCGGAAGGGAAATACTAATTTCAGAAGAATGGATACCAAAAATTATTGATATTTGATATAAGTTCTCTGGAAACAACATCAAACTCTTTATATTTAGTAAAGTTTTATCAAGGAGTATTTGATAGTTAAACTGAAAGGCGTAACCTTTGGATTTACCTAGATTTTAATTGATTTCACTTAAATTTCCTAACAAAGTGAGACAAAGATGATGGCTAGCTATGCACGGTTGGGCTCCAATCCACGTGTGTATATCGGGAATATCTCCATTCTCCCATCTACTTAGGGCCCCTTTGAATTGGAGGATTGTCATAGGAATTTTAGAGGATTTAATTTCCTAAGGATTTTTTCCTATGAAACCCTTTGATTCATAGGAAAGTATAGGAAATTTTCCTTAGGATTGCATTCCTATAGCTCAATTTCATAGGAAAATAAGCAAGAGGTTCAACCTCTTGGAAACTATCCTTTGCTTTGTTTGTTTCCTATGGTGCTATCAAAGGGACCCTCTTCATATTTCCTGTGTTTTCCATTCCTGTAGGATTAGGAAAACATGCTACTTCAATTCCTACGTTTTTCCTATTCCTGTGTTTTTCCTATTCTGCGTTTCAAAGGGACCCTTAAGTTTTATGATGATATACTACTACTCGTGGGATAAAGGCAAAAAGAGCATACTTTTCTAGAGTTTGGAACAACAAGACAACAAATAAAGCATCTGCACTTCTCTTTCATTAACAAGATAAGCACACCTTTTAGCTATCGAAATCCCTATGCCGTTGTAGGCTAAAGAAGCTTTCGCAAAAAAATGACGACTTTTTAGCCAGAAGCTTTCTAACAACGACTAGTAATAACAAGCACAAATAAGCAATCAATCCAGCACAAATAACAGCTGGATTAGCATCAACCAAACCACAGCCACAGCACCTCACCTCACCTCACCTCACAGGTATTCCATCAAACACGTGGTGAGCAAGCAAACGCGTGTAGCAAATCAAGAACCCAAGGAGGAGCAACCGGAGCGCGCGCGCGAGCACACACACAGAGGAGACGGCAGCTGATGAGTAGCGGGATCGGGCGCTCTCTTTCCGCCCTCTTTATAGCCGTCGTCCGCACTCCGCAGCCAAGCAGCCCCCCCTGCAGCGCGCCACCACCACTCCCTCGCCTCTCCCGCGCCCGCGCCCGCGCGCGCGCCAGTAAAAAGAGAAAAGACACTGGCGAAACGGGCGGTGTATGTGGAGCAGGTTGGCCGCGTCTCCGCGACGCCGCCAAGCTTTTGGTTGGTTCGACCTCGAGCTGGATTCCCTTTTAGGGCTCAGGAGGAGGAAGAACGCGGCGGCGGCGGCGGCCTCTCCGCCGGTGAGCAATTGATTGCGGGGAAGAAAGGGGATCGGGCCACCTAACTCAGCTTTTGCACAGAGCCCATCTCATTGCAGGCTCTTAGAGGTGGCCAAACGGGCCGGGCCAAACGGGCGGCCCGGGGCACGGCCGAACCTGTAGCAGGCACGGCCCGGCACGGCCTGCTACAGTAACGGGCCGTGCCGGCACGGCACGAGTAGCCGTGCCGTGCTTGGGCCGCTGGCCGAGCCCGCGGGCCGGCACGGCACGGCACGGCTACTGTAGCGGCACGGCACGGCACGGCCCGTTTCGCCAGCGGCCCGTCAGGCCGAAAGCGCCAGCGGCGCACTGACAGGGCGGGCGGCGGTCGAATGGGAAGGCGCCACGTGGCACTAACGGCTATTTGACCGTTCAAATTTGAAAATAACCGTTGGGAGGCTAAAAAATTCATAAAAATTTCGAAAAAATTCCAAAAAATCTCAAATTTCGCCCTATAAATAGGGCATGAACCCCAGCCATTTCTCCTCATCCCACACTCCTCATCTTGTGCTCTCAAGTGTTTTAAGTGCTCTCTTTGTTCTCAAGTGTGCATTTTTTTTGATTTTGACAAAATTTGCTCAAATTTTGTCAAAAATCAAAATTAGTTTCGTAGTTCAACAGTTTGATCGCAGAGGTTTGAAGAGCTCGCGGTTGGAAAGATGTAAGTAATATTCAAATTTGTGTATTATTTGTATTGTGTTTGTGAATTCAATAAATATTCGAAAATTTATTTATGTCGGTTTAAATTTTCAGAATGGATCCGAACTTTCCATACCAGTCGCCGTCGTTCACCTTGGGTGATTTCGACCCCAACTACATGTCGGGGTTTGACGATACCTCCGGATCGGCTCCAACTCCACCATCTGTGGAGGAGGTACCGGTTCATACGGCTGTCGTTGAGGAGGTACCGGTTCAGGCGGCGACAGCTTCGGAAGGATTTTCCGGAACCGCGAGCGGAAGTGTTTCGACACACACCGGCTCGAAGAGATCGAGAACCTCCGGTGTGTGGCAAAACTTCGACGAGATAAAGGAAACATGCCCCGACGGAAGGGAGGTATCGAAAGCCCGTTGTAGAATATGTAGGCAAATTTTATCTGCTCGTTCTTCTGGTGGTACAGGTCACCTCAAGCGCCATGCGGAGTCGTGTGCCAAGAAGCAAGGAATACAACTCCGGCAGCAGCAACTTATGGTAAACCCAGACGGTACGGTACGCAGTTGGGAGTACGATCCCATGGTTGCTCGGGAATCTCTTGTCCGGTTAATCGCCAGGCAAGATTTACCCCTGAACTTTGGGGAGTCCCCTGCTTTTGAACATTACATTCAGCAATCTCATAACCCTAGGTTTAAAGCTGTGAGTAGGCAAACATCAACTAGAGATTTAGAGAATGTTTATCACAAGGAAGCAACTGCACTTAAGGAACTGTTTAGTACATGTACTTTCTCTGTTAGTGTTACTTCAGATATATGGAGTAGTAGAGCTAGAGAGGATTATCTTAGCGTAGTTGTTCATTTTGTTGATGATGATTGGCAATTACAAAAGAGAGTTTTAGGGCTTAGGTTAATAGATGTCTCACATACAGGAGAAAACATAGCTGAAAGAATTAGGGAAGTAATTAATGAATTTAATCTTGCTGATAAAATATTTGCTGTCACCCTAGATAATGCATCTGCTAATTCTAGGGCTATTGAAATATTGTAACCTTTATTTTGTGTGTATGCTCAATCTTTTCTACTCCATCAGCGTTGTGCATGTCATATAATTAATTTGATTGTTAAGACTGGCATGAAGAGGGTAGGTGACCACATCGATGCTGTTCGTCAAGCAATCGCGTGGTTAACTGCTTCTAACCCGCAGATTGCTGCATGGAAGAGGTTTTGCAATGCGGCCGGTGTGAAAGCTCGTAAGTTTGCCACCGATGCAGAGCATCGGTGGAATGCAACATATTTAATGTTAAAAGTTGTTTTACCTTATAGTAGTTTACTTTCTGATTTTGTTCAGTCACGTGGTGGCCCAAGAAACAGTGACGGGTCTTCAGTACTGAACGAGCATGTTTGGGCAATTGTCCAAAAATTTCACCAATTTCTAGAAACTTTTTATGATTGTACTCTAACTTTATCACAAGTTTATTATCCAACTGCTAATATAATTTTGCACAACCTTCTTGAAATTGCTAATTTATTTAAAGAATACGAAAATGATGACGTTCTAACTGAACCTGTCTTTCACATGAAACAAAAATATTTGAAATATTGGAAAAATATACCTATGTTGTATGCTTTTGCTTTTGTTTTAGATCCTAGGTGTAAATTAAGGGGATTGTCTGCTATTTTATCACTTGTTGGAGATACTATAGGTGTAGATTATAGTTCTTTTTATACTGAGGTTAGACGTAAATTATATGAGGTTTTTGGAAGATATGAAGTAAAGTTTCAGGAAGTTCGCCAGCAGAGACCCCCTCCTATCCCCACTACAGGTAAGAAGAAGATACAGTGGGGTAGGATTTGGGGTGGATCGTCTTCAATCCAAGGTGGTGGCAGTTCGTCGGCTACAAGTGGAGACGCCTCTTCGCATGTTGTGGCCGAAGAGTTGTCCGGTTATTTGGACAGCGACGCCATCCACCACGAAGCACAAGATTTCAACGTCCTCGGGTGGTGGAATGACCACAAGATAACATATCCTGTGCTTTCAAAACTAGCACGGGATGTGTTGACGGTGCCCGTGTCGACGGTGTCCTCCGAATCGGCCTTCAGTCTATGCGCCCGAATCATCGAAGACCGGAGGACGACTCTGCGCAGCGACCACATCGAAATGCTACTAAGCGTTAAAGACTGGGAGCTTGCTCGACAACATGCCCAATACACTGCGGACAACCAAGAATTGGCCGCCCAGTTCGAGCAACTCTACCTGGATCCAGACCAACCCCAGTAGAATTTTGTTAGAAGTAGTTCTGACCTTTGAGCTGTACTCTTTTCTTTGTCATGGTTTTCTCATTTTCCCCTATGAGTTTTTACATGACAAATTTTTTAACGAGGCAGCATGTATCATTGTATCCTGTAATGATATAAACATCAATAAAGGTCATTACTATTTTTAACAAATTCTTTTGCAATATTTTCGCAAGTGTGGATTTATCTTTAAATTATTTCAAAATAATGAATCACAATCTATATTTTTAAATTTTTCAACACAACAAAAAAAATACCATTTTTTCTTTTTTTTAACATTAGCAAATCATTACTTTTTTTAAAAACTTTTATTTCCATTTTTTAAATACCATTTTTTCATTTTTTAACATTAGTAAATCATTACTTTTTTTTAAACATTTTATTTCCATTTTTAATTTTTTTTCCTTATACATTTCCTTTGCTTTTTTTTTTAAAAAACACTGTGCACTGGGCCTCAGGCCTCAGCTGCCGGCCTGCCTTCACGGGCCGCCGTGCCCCGAACGGCCCGTGGGCCGCAGGCGTGCCGTGCCGGCACGGGCACGGCCCGGCCATCCACGGGCCGTGCTTGGGCCGGCGGCTCGGCACGTGGGCCGGCACGGCACGGCCCGTTTCATCAGCCGTGCCTAACGGGCCGTGCCGAAACGGGCCGTGCCGGACCCGTGCCCGTGCCGGGCCGGGCCGTGCCGCCCGTTTGGACACCTATACAGGCTCTCACGGCCACCTAACTCCTAATTAAACCAATTTTGTTTGAGATGTTTATTTAAGTATATAGGTAGGTGGTGTTTGAAACTCATGTAAATAAAGATGAAAATTAAGTGTTTTAAAATAATGTGGTATTAACATATGATTAGTTGAGTTTTAATTATTATAAAATCGAAAAATAGATTTATTTGATATTTTAGAGCAACTTCTATTTTTTTTTTGCGATTTAGCAGTTTTAATTAGTTTAATACAGATCATGCTAAGCCCAAGGCCCACCATCACCAGGCCTACTTTCACATGCGTTAGCGGTTTAGCCAAGATTTACAGTTGTTTGGCAACTTCGAGTTAAAAGGCTTAAAGCTCTCGGTAGCTTAAAATTCTTATTAACAATTGCTTGGCTTATAAGAATTTACAAAGGTTGGATTTTTCAGTTTTTGACTTCTTGTTTATTTTGTTTATTTCGTGGATTATATAACTATACATATATTTTTTACTGAGAATCTATAGAGCTACATATGTTAAAAGGAATTGTACTCCTCCCGTCTTAAAATATAACAGCTTTTAGCGCTTAAGGTTTGTCCCAAAATACAATAACTTTTTCATCAACATTCTCTTCTAAACCAATCACAACCCTCCACAATTCAATCTTCTCATCTACCTTTACTTCTCAACCAATCATAATCTTATCTCATTTAATTCCACATAATTTTTTAATACCGGTGTCTAACCATAAAAATCTTTATATTTTAGGACGGAGGGAGCAGTTGCTAAAAACTTCTAGTAAAGGGTCTTGGTGTCAACAGTTAGTGATGATATACTATCCATCACTGTTAACTGTTCACCATTCATACTAGTTTATTTAAATATAAAATTGAAAATGAGACATAGATGAATCTCACGCCTTGAAGTAAGGATTCCACCTAGGATTCCCGGCAAATTTAGTTGGGGTGTCCAATAAAGGAGGCCTAATTAGTTCATCTTGTAGCTCACCAACAGCAAGAAACACTTTGTTGAAATAACGTCTAACTGTTTCTCCAGACCTATCAAACTTAGTGATAACTAATCTATTTCTAAGGCTGTCCCCTACTGTATTTAGAAACATAGTTACTTGTTTCTTAATAGATATGTGGATGGTATCGTTAAGCAAACCACGATTTCTAAAGAACTTACATAGCCAAAACAAAGAGTCTTTTCTAAAAGGTGGTAATAACGTAAGTCTAAGTATGTTGATACAAGTGGTATCGTTCCTCCAAATTTTTGTGTCTAGATACTCAATTCTCATCCTATCTCTTTTAACTATTGGGCCATATTTAACACATTCTCTCCTAGCACTTCTCTTTCTTTTCCTTGAGTGAATAATCATAGCCATCATTAACAAAAATAGATTGGCAGCAACATCAAAAATTAAAATCTTGGTCCTCTTATCCATATACTCTCTCCGTAAAAAAAAAAAGGAATCTAGTACGGGATGTGTGACACATCCTAAAAATATAGACATATGTATTTCTAAATTTATTGTATTAGAATATATTATATTTAATACTGGTTTAATTTTTTATTGGACGTAGGGAGTACACTACAACTATCAAAGAAAAATAAACACGTTGCTCAAATCATCTCATCAAAAGGTAGAGTAATTGCCCACATCGCCCAGTCCCAGACCCAGCTGCTGAGCTCCCACTGCCACCGCCATACTCGAGGCTGGCCATGAAGGCTCCCGCCGACCACCACCACCACCACCACTCCTCCACGCCGCCGCCGGCGACCAAGATCTCCATCCCCATCTCGGCCGCCGCCGGCGGGGCGGAGGCGGCGCTGCTCGGGAAGGGGCGGTACAAGGCGTGGGCGCTCGCCGCCATCGCGCTCCTCGCGCTCTGGTCCATGTTCGCCGCCTCCGTCACCATCCGCTGGTCCTCCGGCGACCTCGCCGCCGAGTTCGGGGACCTCCCCGACCCGCTTATCGACGACCTCGACCCCCTCGTATGTCTCCCCTACCCCAACATTCCCTTCCTTCCTTCCAGATCTTGCCGCCACTCGGTGGTCGGTGCCTAATCTCTTCCATTGTTCCTCAACTGTCCGATGTGTACATGCATTTTTCCCAAGTCCCAACGGTCTGACATTGCGAAAAAGGAGATGCATTATTGGTTGATTTCAGATTTCATAGTGGGGATGAAATGGGTACTTGTTTCAGCAAAGTCACAAACAGCTTATTTTATTAGAAATTCACATAGTAGACTAAGCATTCTGCAATCTAGTAATTTTCTCTGTTTATAGAGTTTCATTTGGACATACATTGCATATTTTCTCTTCTGAAAGGTTTAGTTCTGTGCTAAGAAAATGCTCATTATCAAAAAAATGCTAAGGAAGGGTACACGCTCTGCTGGAAACATGATGATTTTTTTTTTTGGTCTGATGGTATTTTAAGTTGTTCCATTACATGGACGAGAAAGCAGTCACCTTTATTTCTTGATTTTGGTGTCTGGAACATATGCTATTTGTGTTAACGGTTTAATTTCCCAAGCTTCATCTGCATAATTGTCTAGTCAATATGACCAGCAGAATCCTAAGCTAAAACATAGACGAGCAAAACTATATGCATTTTTTAGTTGTGAATGAAATCTTGTACTGAAGTTTTGCCTAATTTTTAAATAATGAGTAGGAGATGGAGGACAGAGAGAAGCTAGTGCGCCGGATGTGGGATGTGTACACACGCACCGGTGTTGATCGGGTACGGCTTCCACGGTTCTGGCAAGAAGCATTCGAGGCTGCATATGAGGAGCTTGCTGGTGATGATACGCAGGCTAGTGAGACGGCAGTATCTGAGATTGCTCGCATGTCAGTCCACAGGCCTGAACTTGAACAATCGTCGAACAAGTATTAGGTATGAACAAATTGATCCTATCCCTGATCTTGATGCTGCATGGAGATAGATTTTCCTTCTTTTAAATTATTTATATAATCAAATATCTATGTTTGCTTCGCTGTGAGGATTATGCTGGTCATAAGTGTGATTATCAGATATGAAATGGTTACCAACTTTTGTAACTTAATGAAAAAAGGGTTACTTAGAGACTAGAGTTGCTAGCTTACGCAATATTTTCTAAATTTCTGGAATTCTAATACCTAAGTCTGAAGTTTGAGAATTTTTTCAAGCGTGGATGCAACAAAATCAGGGCTGTGAGGCCTCTCTTATCGAACATGGATCCCATTACTGTTAAGCCGTTAAGGGTGTGCCTTTCACTATACCTAGTTCCCATTTGTATGCTTCTTGGTTGGTACTGTATTTTCTCCACTGACTATTGGTTCAAGTATAGAAAGTTCCTATGACTAATGACGTGCCTGTGTTTATTTAGGAGGGAAAGGGATGTAAAACAAGATGCCACATGTTAATTTCAATTTAATAAACTATAACATCATCCAAGGCATCTTTTGGTTGTTAGCATTTCCAATTTTGTACTATTTCTATCTGTGGATGTCTCAACGTAGATGTTAACAAACAATATTATGGGCTATGGCATAACGACTTAACGCATGAAGGATGAAGCACATGGTCATCATTGCAGACTTTAGCTAGAGTACCATGTTGTACTGGTGTAGTGGGCTAGGGACATTCCGCTCCGGTTTCCAAACCTTACTTGCCTCAGTATATCACTCAATCGCTTAGGCTAGTGGGATATAATATCATGGTACTCAATCGCTTACTTGCCTCAGTATATAAATACTGCCTTGCATTTGTGCATCCCCTGCCAAAAAACTGCCAATCTGTAGCAATCTGGTTGTGCTGTCTATGCTGAATTTGTTTGTTCCTAATATATGCTTTTCTATTTTGCAGAAATAAATGTGTAACATTTGGTGAAGTGGAGATGGTAGTTGGAACCTGAATAAGTATTTAGGATTATGTAAAAATTTAATATCCCACTTGAAGATCACTTGCTAAATATGATCACAGTTTACTTGGTTTGTTAGCCAATGCAAAAATTCCACTTCTCTGCAGTATGCAAAGCTTAAGCATATGCTGATGACACAGCAAAATCCCACTTCCTTGTAAAGTTTTTTGGGATCCAGAGTAACCCAAATGAGAATATACCAAATTTCGGTAATCTCCTGAACATATTGTGATTTGTGAAAAGATCAATCACAATAAATTTGGAATTCGGGAATCACTTGTACCCATGTTTTAATCACCCATGAACAAAAACTGTTTTTGTATGCATACATATATGCCATATCTGTTTGTGCATATGGTGATTCTAGAAGCTTCTGGAAATTTCCACAGAACAGCATGACAATTACGAAATCTCTAACCAGTAACCAGTCCATGGGCTGAAACCACAGGACCATTTCATTGTTGCAAGGCTGAGCCTGAAAGTACTAGAGCCTATATTGAATTCATCAATCCCTCATACAAATACGGACTATTTCAGTCCATTTTTATTTGGCACGACCAAGGACATGAACTCGTTTTAAGTTCACACTTGTACAAAGTTGTCTGACTTTATAGGCTGACTTTGATTTTGAGTTGAACGACAAAGTGCGGTCTGAAAAATTGCTTTCACCGTGCTCATTTGTAAACGAAATTTTGATGAAAGTTGTCACGAATAAGCGTGTCGATTTGCTGAATTTTTGAGTAATTTGGGCATAGATCCTACACAACCCATGTTCATTTGATTGCACAGTAAACGGCTTTACTTGAACTGCAGGTTTCTGCAGAAGATTACCTAATCGTCAAAAATAGCTCTAGTGCATTGACCTTTTGACAGATTTCAGCAGTGTTAGGCTCGCACTTACATAATGCTTCTTCGCCTAATCCATTATAACTAGCAATAGGAAACAAAATGGCATTGACCATTGATCTCTTGCCATTCTTCTCATCTGAAGCATTAGCGCTTTGTTTTAGAAAACATTTTTGCCAATCTAATTTTTCTCCATTTAGGTCAAGAAAAGCAGTTAACTATGGACCATCACAATTCACAAGAGCTAGGTAAAAAGGGTTGAGAAAGTGGGACGTGCATGCTAGACTCAACCGTTCTGCACTAACAACCTACTAACTACCCCGTTTGATCAGCCTACCTTGTCCAAATTCCACCACGAAAATTCCCCAAACAAATCTTGGTCTCTCTCGTGCACAACTCATGAACAACCTTTCCAATTCTTGTAATCAATAAAACAAAGCACCAACCATTATGCCATGACATACTAATTAATTAATTAATTAATCACAAAAAAAATACTATGCAATAACTATCACACCCTTATGAGTTCCCTTCCCACAAAACAAGTCCATGCAATGCAACACCATCGTGCTAGCTCTACCAACAATCCACTCTTAAAGAACCATCACGAAACAGTCACTGACAAATAGGTCCCCACTATCACGCAACCTGGATGAAAGCGGCTTTTCGAGCGACAAACCGCTAAAGTTTTTCGTGGACGAAATTAGTCTCATGAAAAAAAAATGGTTTTTCGCGGTCGACGAAACCGTGTACACAACTCCATAAGCAAAAACACCCACTTTTGTGCCCTAAAATGTTAAAAATCTTTGATATATCTCCAATGGGCACACCAAAACACCCATGGCTTTGTGTGTGGCGCTCCCCATATTTAATGGCATCATCACTTCCTCACGCCTCCAACGTCTTCTTGCATTCCATCCTTTCTTCTCTTCTTCTTCTTCTTCTTCTTCTTCACATCGTCGTCGTCATCATCCATGGCGTGTGTAATGTGAAATCAGCGAGCTCGATATATACTCCATTAAGCTAAGCTGGTTGATCTCTCGTGTGTTCCAAATTAATCCGCGTGGTTAATTAGCTCTAGCTAGAGATCGGTAGCTCTCGACTAGTTGGACATGGCCGCCACGGGCGTGCTCGTCGTCGTTGTGGCGCTCGTGTTCGCCGTGACGGTGGCTGGCGGCGGCGGCGCCGGAGTAGGAGGTGATGGCGGGTTCATCACGTGGGAGGACCTGAGCATGCCGGCCGGGGCGGCGCGGAGCAGCACGTGGGACGACACGGCCGGCGGTGGCGGCGGCAAGAGGAGCGGCGGCGGCGGCGGCGGCGAGCAGCGGACGACGATCGTGGTGTCGCCGGACGGGACGGGGCACTCGCGCACCGTGCAGGGCGCCGTCGACATGGTCCCCGCCGGCAACACGAGGAGGGTCAAGATCGTCGTCAGGCCGGGCGTCTACAGGTACGTGGGTGTTCGACCGATCGATCGCCTCCCCACTACCTGTCCCTCTCGTAACCGCCATGGACGAGTTAATGTCGTCCTATCTCGCGAAGCTTTTTAAGACTGGAATTGAAGCTGCAATGGCGCTGACCTCGCCGGCGACGGCGTGCCGTGCAGGGAGAAGGTGACGGTGCCGATCACGAAGCCGTTCGTGTCGCTGATCGGCATGGGCACCGGCCACACGGTGATCACGTGGCACTCGCGCGCGTCCGACGTCGGCGCGTCGGGCCACCAGGTGGGCACCTTCTACTCCGCCTCCGTCGCCGTCGAGGCCGACTACTTCTGCGCCAGCCACATCACCTTCGAGGTATACACACACCGCACGTCGTCGTCGTCGTCGTCGCCGGCCGGCTCGCCGGCGGCGGCGAAACGTGTTCCTGGATGTAACAAGCGTGGTGGTGGTGCAGAACTCGGCGGCGGCGGCGGCGCCGGGGGCGGTGGGGCAGCAGGCGGTGGCGCTGAGGCTGTCCGGCGACAAGACGGTGCTGTACAAGTGCAGGATACTGGGGACGCAGGACACGCTGTTCGACAACATCGGGAGGCACTACCTCTACAACTGCGACATCCAGGGCTCCATCGATTTCATCTTTGGCAACGCAAGGTCCTTGTACCAGGTAACTAATAAATAAATAAAATTAAACCACAGCTGCTGTTACTACTACTGTTGCTGCCTTTTACTACTGTCTAATTAAGTCAGGATGTTGCCCAAATTAACCACAGGTATTTTTGTGGTAATTCTTGGTAAGGATCAGTAGTGTACTGTTACCATGAGAAATAATCCTATAAGAAAAACCGACTTCTATTTCTATTTAGAAGGGACGCGCACATACGCCACTACACACAACAAGTATGACCGCTGAATACTCGTTTAAAGAGATAGAGAGCAGTTGCAAATCCCTAATCTCACTAAGTTCTTATTGGATGTTTAATACAACATATGTTTTTTCTATTTGACATTGGTCAAATCAAAATTGAACTAACCAATGTCACGTAAATAAAAATGGAGGAAGTATTTTATATTTTTTAAGAATATGTTTATGTATAGCATGATAAAATCTTTGGACACTCTGTCCCCCACACTTTGCTCTAGTTGTCCTCTAGACTAGTAGTACTATACCTTTTATGCTGTGTCTCCTGTTGGTCCGATCAGAGCTGTCACAAACTCACAATTCAGGCATTCACCAACTCTTCCATTTTATACCTTACAGCAAAAGAACTTCTCACTCTGGTGAGGCACCTAGATTAGCACCTTGCTTAACCTAGCTATATAGCTAAGTGGGATAAGGTGGTTAGGCACTTAGCCCTGCACCAATGCCACCAATGCTCTTACACAAATCGGTGTTCAGAATTAGTGGTCACATTCTCTTTCTACCTTCGGCACAACTGTCACTGAATGAAAAATGCCGGAGTGAGTGTTAATGAGAGTGACATTACATGGCAATGTGGTGCCATGATCAATTTATTTTTTTCACGAACATGCAAAAACCTTACACGTCAATATATTATTATTAGATCAATATACAACTGTAACACGTGGAGGCAGTAATATGCCATGATTAAAATGGACAATTAGCTTCTTGGCAGTCTGAATTTTTGTAACTTTGTTTTTTCTTTTTGTCAGGGTTGCACGCTGCACGCCGTGGCGACGAGCTACGGCGCGATCGCGGCGTCGCAGCGGAGCTCGCCGTCGGAGGAGTCCGGGTTCAGCTTCGTCGGCTGCCGGCTCACCGGCTCCGGCATGCTCTACCTGGGAAGAGCATGGGGCAAGTACTCCAGAGTGGTGTACTCCTACTGTGACCTCAGTGGCATCATCGTCCCCCAGGGATGGAGCGACTGGGGTGATCAATCAAGAACAAAGTGATCAACTTTCCTGCCATTTAATCACACACTCAATTTGCTGCTCTTGATTAAAATTACAGTTACAATTATAATTGCAGCTACTCTGTCAGGTTCACATGGCATATTAATATTATTGATCGAAGAGATTATATTTTAGCTGAATTTTACTAGTTACCAACTTACCATCCTCGATGATCAAATGGCATAGGAAGTGGTTGGGAGTTGCATTGCAGGCTCACCAAACAGTCTTGATAGGGGAATTCAGTTACCACATGTGACAAGGCTGTTACCAAATGAGTTCCTTTTCTTTTCTGAAATCCTAGAGACGATACTGCCATATCATATCCGTCAGAAAATGACAGAGAATGTGTCTGAATCTTCTGACAGGACGGTGCTGTTCGGGGAGTACAACTGCAAAGGGCCAGGGGCGAGCACGAAGCAGAGGGTGCCGTGGTCGCGGACGCTCACCTACGACGAGGCGCGGCCGTTCATCGGCCGGAGCTTCATCAACGGCGAGCAGTGGCTCCGGCTGTAGATCATCGCCGATTCTTCACAAGTTCAGAAAGTTCAGACTGCTGCTGGTTCCTTCTCCACTGCAGTCTGCAGATAGAACATGTACCTAGTAGATATAATAGCTGACATGTAACGATGTACCATGTAACAAACTTTGACATACATCCATATGTAGTGAGATGAGCAGCCCCATCATTTCACTTATCTTTATGCTTATTCGTATCGCCTATTATTAGCAAACAAAAAGTAATTTATAGGTAAAATTTAATGATACAAAAGCAAAATGTTGTAAAATAAACCACGATGAAACCATAAAATCAACTTCAAAGATTGAGTTTTATAGAATTCAAAGTTTGCGATATAATGGGACCGGAGATTTGTTAGACCAGCCAATCATAGCAGATGAGAGTTTGCATGTGTAAAGGAACTAGGTAATGCATCATATGAATGTGACATGCTCGTGCCAGGGACATCAGGCCTAACATAACAGAAGATAATGATATCATGGGATGGCATTGGCATCAGGTAGAATTGACTTCAGATCCCAGGATGCCACAAATAGATGATACAGAACTTGAGGAGGAGAAAAAACCACTCATTTTGCAACTTCTTCAGATCAACATGCGCAAGTGCAGTTCATACTTGATGGATGTGCAATTGCACACCATACCCAATCACAATGTGTGATTGTTAGTCGTTGAATCTTCACAACAGCTTAAATGCAGATATACTCTTGTAGCACAAGCAAGCTAGGACAAGAATGTTATTCATATGAACTTAAACTATATTAACAATTGAGAATAAACTGAAACTATAGTCCAGACTCCGGAGGAAAACATAAGAGAAGCAATGATCAATCAGACTGCTATACAATATGACTGGTAAGGGTAATATTTAGTTTGCAACCTCTGTATCTGGTGACAGAAAGCCTGAAAGTGGGAAGCTAACAGTAAAACAAGGGAACACGTGTATGAAAAAAGATGTCGATGCTCACTGATATCAGCAACCTAGTAAAAAACCCCTCTGCTGGGGTCCAATTACCATATCTATAGCTATGTACATACGTCTAATGAGGTTGCGCTTCCCAAACTTCACAATTTGCCAACATCTATGCCTACTTCCCCATTGCAATGTTGTTCAGCATCATCATCCCTAGGTCGCTTTCCTAGAACTGTTTGTTTCTGGTCCTCTGCAAAAGCAGAGGCCATATCAGTCAAACTAACTTCTGCTGGCTGATCAGCTCCTGTTTGTTTATCTTCACTAGAGTTTGTTTGTATGGCTGCAAGCTCTTGGTCAGACATTGCAGAATTTCTGGAGTCCGGCCTCTCAACAGATGTCAGATTATCAGGTTGCCTTGTTTGAACACCAACCGAAGGTATTTTCGATAACACATCTGGTTTCATTTCTATATCAACCCAGTGGCTCTTGACCCAATCTTTCGAAATTCTTAAATTCTTTAGCTGGCATACACTAAAGAAGTTCTCGCCTGTAAAAACAATAGAAATATCAACATGTTGCAGATGAAATAGAGGATTAAAGAACATAGGAAATCGTTGTTTGATGATAAGGAACATGGTTTAGCTTCCATACGCTTGCAAGGAATACCACTGGGGCATTTGCAAATTTGCCAATGGTTTTTTCAATTTTGCAGGGATACCACTCGAATGACAGTGTGTCATTTTTGCATTTTTCTAGTGGCAGTCTTGCAATAACGATTCAATCCAACAGCAAATTTGCAATTGCCCCTAGCTTGGAAGGTCAAAATTAGATACGGACTGCAGAAGGATCTATTTTATCAAAACAACTTGTTGTTTTTCATTGGAAGAAAGGACCAGAAAAAAAAATTCAAAAAGGAAATTTACCTGGAAAATATATTTGTAGGCTATCAGCTGAAATGTTGTCTGCACTGACTAGAACTCCTTCCCACCAGCCACTAAATTGCCATACATCAACAGCAGCTCCAGGTAAAAGATTAGTTCCGTCAGCCAAACTATTTTGTTGAGGGCGTGGCCTAACTCTGCGTCGCTCTGGGCATCTCAATCCCAGTTTATCAGGACGAGCCAATGTTGATACAGGTACCCACTCCTACAAAGAAGCATAGAATAATCTCATCCTCTTATGAAAGCATACATTTTACACAGAGTTAATAAAATAAATCATGGCATTACGAAAAAGAATAGAAGTAACAACAAAATACCAAATATTATGGCATATTCTGCCTTTCAAAAATACATATACCACTTAAATTTCAAACTAAGACCAGTAGTCATACCTCCAATCTCCCACTATCATCAGCATTCTGGAGATCATCATACTGAACCTTCAATTTGTTATGATTAGTACATGACTTGAGAACTGTACACCTGAACCAGCAGCCTACAATCCCACTGTCCTGAGACAAGACCTCTATTCTGTCACCAACATTGTAGGTTGGCATACGCTGATTCTGGGGCCCTATGAACTTGACTGAGAGATGTTTTCTGGGAGATTGCTTACTGCTTGGTTTCTGATAAGATGCTATGGAGTCTTCTTGTGGGCCTCGGCAGATTTTAGTTCCCAAACATTTTGAGTAAAGCCTCTCAAACTGCTTAGGAAACTTTGTCTTCCCAGGTGTCCATTGCTCAAAAGTTTTTATGATATCAGAACCATCATCCTTTTCTTGCTCTGGGGGAAGTTTTAAGGACAAAACAACAGCTTGACTAAAATATCCACGCAATGATCTCAGGTCAAAACGTTTAAACTTATTTTTACTGTATTGGCGAAAGCAGAAACGGATTCCCACCATAGAAGAATTTGGCAATGTATTGACGCATTTTTCATAGTGCTCAGGAGTTAACACAGTTGCAATATCATCGACACACTCCACACTGATTACTTGAGAATAAGGAGTGATGAAAACTTCGCAAGGATGAGGAGGGGGAGGAGGTATAGCGCAAGCAAATTCCTGGTTTTGATGAAACCATCGCACTTTAACCTTCTTCTGCCCCTTCTTATCTTCGTACATATCTTCCAAGTATGCAAGATAGCGACTTTCCTCCTCAGACATGACAAGCACAAAAGAGTGGGTCTGCAAAGAAGATGGCACATGAAGCTCAGAAAACAATATGGGCAATTGGGTATACACACATGACCATGACCATGACAAAATACTTACAGATATTGTGGTACCATTACGACAAAAAGCTTTATAGTGGTAAAGCTGCTTGCCACAAGTCCAGGACGAACCAGACCACATAATGTCCGAGCTACAGGCTTTCCCCTAACAATATAAAAAAAATCAAAACGCTAATAAAGATGAGAACAAACTGTATGCAAAGTTACAAGTAATTGCATACCAGATTGTGACCCATAAAGCTATCAGGTTCACTGTATCCATCCAATCCAATGTCATTACCCATATGTGATCCAAATTTTGAAAGTTCTGAAATGACCAAACCGTTAACAAATGGTTCATATGTTGATCATACATGTTATATGCTTAACAGGGTGAACAAACTGGTAATCAGACCATTATGTGGTAAGAAAGGGAACAAAGAAAAAGTTGATTACTAAGGACAACTGTCACTAACAAGCTATTGTAAAAAGTTCATGTAATTTCCCTGTTTGAAAGGGCTTCTCTTTGAACTTGAACAAAGCATAAGCACTCTCAAGTCCCAAATGTTGTGATTACAGTTACATATGTTACCAGTTAGCACATATTGCCTGTTACCATGTCTAATATGATGGGTGGAAATAAACCAAAGGCCTCTACCACATAATGTCTAATCTGTATAGGTCTTTCAGGTAGAACTTTTAGTCCTAAAGGTCCTTTAAGGCTAAATTTTCCGTATTGTATCCATCGCAGAAAAAATGATTATGCACTACGAAAATAGGGTACACAGCAAGTTGCACAGGATCTTCTAGAAATCCAAAATTTTACTAGTAAGGTCTAATCTGAATTCATGGCTAGCCTACTGTGAACAACAGACATACTCCAAACCAGCTATTTACTTCATTAGGTTCTAAAGTCACTACATGGCATATAGCATGTTAAATAAACAGCTATTGGTATATTCAGTATCAGCCGAACTCGTGTATGAGCACTATAAACAAAGGAGGCGAGACTTACTCGAGGCGAGGGACTTCGCCGGAAGGAAGGAGGCGAGCCAATCCACCACCTCACGGCGTGACCGCCACTTGCGCGCAAACACCCCCGGCCCGCCGCCATCGGCACCCTGCGCCTCCCGGAAATCCTCCGAGACCACATAGAGCATGTGGCGCAGGCTCCGCTCCGTGCCGACGACGGCGAGGTGCGACGCGCCCGCGGCGTCCTCGAGGTAGTAATGCACGACGCGGCTGCCCCTCTCCTGCGACACGAAGTCCTCCCTCCACCTCACGAACTCCGGGCCGCCGCCGCCGTCCTCCTCCTTCGCCATCCCTCGCAGCAGCAGCACCACCACCACCGTCACCTATAGAAGAAGGGACGCCCAGCCCGAACTCAAACTAAACGAGACAAGGAGCCTCTCGCAGCAAGCTCATGTCCTTTCACAACACCTTGAGCCGGTCAGCCCAGCCTCTCCCTCCCCTCAGAAACCTCCGAGAAGACGAGAATTTCACGGAACACACGAGATGAACCCAAAAAAAAAAACGAGGGGTTGGGGGGAAGCGCCGCCCGGGACTTCCTTTTTCTCGAAATCCCCGGGCAGGGAGGAGGGGAAACCCTAGGGTTTCAGGGAGATTTGGGCGCGGTCCTCGGCGGCCAAATCGGCTTGAACCGGAACGGGTTCAGGCTGAGCAGGAAGCACTCCATGAAGCAGCCACCAACGGCGGCGGCGTCCGCTCACCCCGGCCCGATTCACGCCAAACCGCTCTCCCCCAACACGCGGGCGGCGGCGGCGGCGGAGGAGGAGACCACCAGAACGACGGGCGGACGCGGCGAGAATCTCAGGCCGTCACCTCCCCGCGCGGCCACCGGCGAGAGGAGATACTAAACCCCCGCACCCCCGCGCCTCCTCTCCCCGCCCCGCCCCCGGGAAGAAGGCGGCGGCGGCGGCGGAGGGGGGGAGGTGGACAGGTGGGAAGGCGAGGAGGAGGTTGGGGCCTTGGGGGAATCTACTCCGTTTCGTTTCGTTTGGTTTGGTTTGGTTCGCTGGGGTTGCGGCGGGCGGGGCGGGGGCGGGTTTACCGGTGACCGGTGGTAGGGTGACGAAGGAAGGGTTGGTGACTTCCTTTTGCTGCTACTGCTGCCCTTGGATTTGGAGGAGGGCGTGAAAGAAAGTCTTCTTCGGCTTACGCCTTCGGTTTTTTGTTACTACTTGTAAAGATGTACTGTTAAACGGAATGTACAAAGTCAAAATCAGCAGTAAATTGATAAAATTATCTCGAGTATATATTATCAATCAATACTATTGACCTCGTTGAATCCTAATAAAAAATATAGTGTTTTCTACCGATTGATCGATTTGACGAATATAATCTATGGTGAAAGATAAGAATGAAGGAGTACAGACAACCTCCAAGAGCCTCTGTGGTAGTATTTACTACGCTTTACATTATTATAAAATAGAAAGAAGGGGTGAGGTTTCTAATTCAGTTCAGTTCTAGCTAGAAAATGCCTAAATATTTCTCAATTTAGATCAAACTAGAAAAAAAATACCCGTACATTACAACAGGTGAAGAATATTTTAATTTTTATTATTGTTATACGGTTTAGTAAGGAGAAATTCAATTTTAAAATTTGCTTCGCTGCATAATTTTCTAGAAAATCATTAGCTGCAATTACTCCCTTCTTCCTTAGATGTTTGACACCGTTGACTTTTTTAAATATGTTTGACCGTTTGTTTTATTCAAAAACTTTTGTGATATGTGTAAAACTATATGTATACATAAAAGTATATTTAACAATAAATCAAATGATAGAAAAAAAATTAACAATTACTTAAATTTTTTGAATAAGACAAACGGTCAAACATTTTTAAAAAAGTCAATGGCATCAAACATTTTGGGATGGAGGTAGTATAAGTCTGATCATCTCATGTTAGCATGCGAGTTTTTTTAAAGAGATTTTTTATACTACTCATCCTGTATTTTTTAAAGGCGAACGAATTTAAAAACTGACTCATACACGAATAACGTACCAAAAATACCGGTAAAAACATCTTCAATTTTTAGAGATAAAGATACAATATGAAACAAAATATAGCCACAACGTATCATTACCGTGATAAAATGCTTTAGTAAACACGATTTCGCCACGTTATTCACGAAAGCTAAAACGAATTACGAGACGGCCTCTTTCTAGCAGAGAAAAGCAAAACAATTTGCTAAATCATTGCGCAGATTAAAAGATGTAGAAAGCGCTAACATGTCATCAAACTTTTGGTTAGCCACTTTAGCCTACACAAGCCGCACAAAAGTAGAAAAGCGCTAACAAGCCAAAGCGCACACCAAACCGGCCCATTTATCGAACCATGCCCATGGACACGAACCAAGCCCACGGCCCAACCATCAGCAACAATTGCTTCGGCCCAACAACATTCCACTCGGCCCAACAACCACCCGCATCCCCACCACCCCACATGCAGAGCGGGTGCAGATCACGGCGACTGCGAGGCGAACTCGTCACCACACACTCCTCCTCCCTCATCGCCGCCGTCCTCACCTCACCGCCGGCCAAGCCAGCCGCGGCGGCGCAAGATGAACCACCACCTCTCGCTCCTCCACCTACCTCGCCTCTCCCCCGTACTCCACCACCACCCCCGCCACCTCCGCCTCCATGGCCGCACCACCGTCTTCCAAGCTCGCCTCCCTTCCCCTCAGCGAACGAACCAGCACCGCCTCCTCGCCGTGACGACCGCACCACCGGAGCCCGAGAAGACGGAGGAGCAGCAGCTCCTCCACCCCCTCCAAGAACCAGCGGAGGGAGAAGTCAGCGGCGGTGGCGGGGCAGACAGGACGTGCGGGCTCCCGACGTGGGCGCTGATCGGGGCCATCGCGGCGGCGGTGGCGCTGTCGTCGGCGGCGGCGGCCGGGCCGGCGGCGGCGCTGGGGCCGGAGGGCCCGCTGGTGGAGGAGTTCTGGGACAACATGCGGCGGTACGCGCTGTACGTGGTGACGGTGAGCACCGGGTTCGCGTACACGCTGGCGCAGCCCATCGTGGAGCTGCTCAAGAACCCCGTCACGGCGCTGCTCATCGTCGCCGTCCTCGCCGGCGGCGGGTTCCTCGTCTCCCAGGTGCTCAACGCCATGGTCGGGAACTCCGACTTCATCTACACCTACGACCAGTAGTAGAACAACAGCAACATCCCAATCCTTTTTCACGTGTAATATGCTTTTCAGTTTCAGCTAGAACAGGTGATGATGATGTGATCAAGTTTTTGCTTGGCAAATGTAGCCGTGTTTGGTGTAAATTTCGAACGAAATTGGAGGATTTAATCCGAGTTTTTGACCAGTGAATCTCTAAACTAGGATTTGAAATTATCGTTTAGAATGTTGCGCGATAGTATTATGGTAACTAATTTGTGCGCGATACGATGCGGGGTTGCAACGAACGAACAGATAAATCCATCGCTAATCCCTTTTCCTCCTCCGCGAAACTCCGGAACACATGGCGGCGCTCCGCCCCACCTGGTCGCCGCCTCATCTCGCGGTGACCGCCGCGCCGACGAGCGCCCTGGCCTTCCTCCCTCTGATTAGCCAACGCCGCCGCCTCCCCTCGCCGGCGCCGGCGAGGAGGATACAGCTCCGCTCCCACTGTACAAAGAGCCCAACGGAGTCAGAGCCGGAGCACGAGGACGACGGCGCCGACGACGAGGTAATGCTAGCCGACGCAGCGGCATCGTCTCCTCTTCCGGCGAGCCTTCGATCTCCCGCTATGTTTTTGTGCTAATAATGATGTAAGCTTATTGCTTGCTCGAACAGGATGCAGCTGCAAGATCAGAGCATCCAGCAATCATCTTCCAGGAGAGATTAGACAAATTCCTGGATGATTACAGAGCAGCCTTGGGCCTGGTAAGTCTCGATCTCAGATGTTAATCTAGATTAATCTGGTTCATGCTGTAATACTAGATTACTAGTCCCTCGAGATATAGATGAGCAGTGGGAATTATAAGCAACAGAGGAGTAATATGATAACTAATGATACTACCTCCGTTTCAGGTTCTAAGACTTTCTAGCATTGCCCATATTTATATAAATGTTAATGAATCTAGACATAAAATAGATTCATTAACATCTATATAAATGTAGGTAATGCTAGAAAGTCTTATAACCTGAAACGGAGGAAGTAGATGTTTTGGCATTTGCCAATGTTTGATTTCTTCTTGTAAACCAGAGTGTTACAAATGAAAGTCCCAAGCTTATGATGTCAACCATCAGCTGTATGAGTTCTAAAATTGCTTTTAAGTTCAGAAGTTTTTTTTTTTCTAAAAACAGTGGTCCCAATGTAAATTTAAACTTCAATTGGAATTTTGAAAGCAATCTACTACTGTGTTAGTTTTATTACTCTAGGGACAGAGGTAACCGAGATCATTTTCTTTATAAGGTGAGTCAGTGATTATTAGCAAACTTTCCTGCGGTTAGATTTATATTTGTTGTTCCTAATGCCTCTAATTTTGATCTTTTGAAGCGTACGCCCCCTGATATGTTCCGTAAGGAGAAGTACAAAATTGCGGTTATCATGCAGAAGATGTATTCTTCCAGTTCTAAGATTCTGGTTAGTCTTGTTTATACTCTGTCTGTGAAACAGTTGGGAAAAAACTTCTAATTAAAAAATCCACAATAATAACATTTCCATTGATATGTATTTGCAAGAGCAATGCTACATGTACTAAAAATTTCTTTACAAACTTCTTACTAACAAAAATGTTAACTGATTGAGTCAATTTGCCTTTATTAAAAGTCAAGATTCAGTCACAATGTGAAACATCTGCTTTTGTAATGGTTCTTTTAAAAAAAATTAGTGCGCACATCTTTTCCCTATTTGCACTAGCTGACCAATCTTTGGGGTTATGTCAAGTTCACTAGTATTTTGCTAATGCACCGAATTCATTGTTAACACATTACTTTATGGTGAAATTTTGACAAGCATGCTCTTATTGTTTAACAAAGATCTACCAAAATAAATGTGTTGCAGCTTATCGTTGATGCATTTCATTCTCTTTTAATTTGGCGATGACACTATGACAGAATGCAGACGAGAAGGAGATGGTGTCAACGGTTTGCAGGAAAGCACGATTAGCTCTAGATTTAGCTTCGGAGGTCATGGTAAATTATGATGTCATGTGTACGCTTTCCATTTGTTATATGTATAGTTGGTGCTTCTAAAGTTAATTCATCAATTTTATTGTAACATTTCTAGGATGTTGCTGCCTTCGGGCTTGGTACAACCGAAATTTCTCAACGTACAGCAGATCAGGTAATTAAGTTCTAAAGTTTCTTTCTATTGTACTTCTAAAATTTCGTTCGGCTTACTGATCGTTTCTGAATTGCAGATGGTGAGGACGTACACAACTATCTTTTGTGAGGTTGCCAACGAGTTATATCATAATAGGGTCACAATGGAAAATATTCTATCCTTTCTTGATGCTCTTGGAGGCTTAGGGGCAATAACACATATCTTGGTTCAAGATACCGTGGATAAGCTCCATAATGGTCTTTTAAAAAAGAAAATCACCCATGATCTGGATGCACTTTCCCATAAGTTTGATAAGGAGATGAACATTTTGAAAGACAATTTTAAAAGGGAAACAAGAATTGATGGATACAAGGTACACGTTCTTGTCCACATATTCGTTATGCTACCATATATATTCCATCAGTTCCAAAATATAAGGATTTCTAGCTTATTTAGCACTAATAAATAAGGTTAGATTGAAAGATTCCCTTTTAGCCTTTAGTTGTCAACTTTTGAATTTCTAATTGCTTAGATCACTTTCCAAACATCTGATTAGCTCTGGAACCATTTAAATGATAAGGATCATGGGAATCAATTCAAGAATATTTATATTGTTGTGCAGAATTTTTAATCCAACCAATTAAATTTCTTGGTTGTAATTTTCTATTTTTGTTCACTATATATGAGATGATGATTGAACTGTTTAAGCACTATTTTTGACAATCTTATCTGCATTTAAGCATACTATTTGTATGTATAATAATTTGATATTCAGGTCCTGTAATATCCCGTAGCTTAGATTTTCATTTCTGCATTTATCGCTGTAAGAGAGATATGAATGTGCACACCCAACGTGATCTTTCTGAGTCCGTCACTGCACCGAATATCCTGAAATTCAGTCTTTATTGTCAAACAGGTAGTGGACTATACTTCTGTGAATGAGACAGTCTCGCATGGTGTGATTAATACAGAATTATATGTTTCTGATCTGGTTAAATGTCGGAGAGCTGCATTACCTTCTATCTCAGGCCTCGGTAAATTAAATGATTCTCTGCACACGTTTAATTAGTCTGCTTTTGCAATGTTTAGGTTCTCATCAATGTAAGTGCAAGTTTAATAGTATAGCCCGCTGCTAGCTTTAATTTATCTATAGTCAATCTAATAGCCAATTTATACAATAGTTGTTTATTATACTATTAATATATGGTCCCACATATCATACATACATTGCGTGTTACAGCTGGCTACAGATCTGTAGTCCGCTGCTCTTCTCTCTTATCGTTTATCTTATTAAAATATGTTTATAGCTGGCTAGTAGCCTGTTATTGTACTAACGATCGCTGTCATCTTGCTGGTATCTTTATGCGCAGGGAACTTTTCTTGAGAAGCAAACAGCCCGCCTCTAAGTAACGTGAAATCGTCGATGCCTGAATAAGAGCATACTTGGTACTTCTGAAGACCAAAGCTAACCGTTTGTGTGTGTGTTTGCCTTGCTTCAGATGTTAATCTTCTGGAACCGAGTTTAAATGAGCATAATATCTTAGATGCATAGCTGCCCTGCCTACTGGTGTTTGGGAGAGAGCTCTCAAAAACATAAGTCCCCCCTAGAGACTTATGGTTTTGAGAGAGGGGCTAAAGTTTAGCCTCTCTCTCCCAAACACCCCCTTAGTCTAGTCAAGAATTAATTTAGGATGTCTCTTTTCTTTCCCCACTTCTTATTTGTTAGGCTTGGTTTTTGACAATTAAGAGTACAAGTATAAAAGATTTATTATCCAACGCAACATTAAGGGTTATATACTTGTATTGTTGAAGAGTAAGGACTATTGGTCTAAATTGTTATTATATTGTGGTTGAAGAGTAAGGTGGTCTAAATTGCTCCGACTACCTTGTGTTGCGTGATCTGACGTGCAAGTGTAAATGCTGCCTTGCTTGCACAACTGCATTGCAGCATTGTATTGCTGAACCGTATGTTTCCCTGTGTGTGTTGGTTTCATGCTGCATTGTGATTCCCCAACAAAAGCTACTGTGATGCTGCAAGCACAGAACGTCCATGTGTTGCGTGTGAGCTGCCTTCTTTTCCCTCCCTGAAAGGAAAAAAAAATAAAGCTGGCTGTACCTGTATACTCCTGCCTTGTTTGGGCTTTTTGGCAACATGCACCGGAGCAAGAGATACACACCACAACCCTGCATTATTTTTGTTTGTCTTCATCTTCTGTTGCCACCTTCCTTTTTCATCTTAACGGAGAAGAACCATATCAGTGTGATGTGTGTTTCTGTTTTGATGTTTGACTGCATTTGCACTAATAATTCTACTATGCCCTCGTGGCATTTGGTATGGACTGAAAAGCTTGCAAAAAAAAAAGTCACTTAACATCAGGTCAACAGACTTTGACCATACCATCATCGTGTTAATCATGAATTTTTATGATAATCGCGCATCGATAATTAAGTTGAGATCAAAGTTTTTTATTTGCATAACTATGCTGGTTATTCATAGAGCGAGATGCACGTTTGATTAATTGGTTGGACTACTTACGAATCTTAGCAGTTTAGAAACCACGTCTGAATAACTGGTTATACACACTAAAGAAACACCTAGATTATTTAAAATTAATTATTATTTTTTTCTGACGAGCGGGCAATAGAGCACGTAGAGTATGAGAAGTGCTATACGTACTACTAACGTATGTCTCACCTCATCAAACTAATCACATTGCTTAGATTAATTACCTCTGTGGGTTCAGGTTATGATCGTACGGACTACAGAGTCGTATTGACCAGTCGTATGCGTAGTCATTCCGGTAAAGTACTCTCTCCATCCATGTAACTTTACATTATTCATGTCCAATATTTAACCGCTCGTTTTATTTAAAAAAAATATGATTAGTATTTTTATTATTATTAGATGATAAGACATGAATAGTACTCTCTCCATCCACAAAAGTTACATATATTACTTTTGACACCAAGACCAAGGAAAAATTAAATCATCTTGGATGTTACAAAATCAAGTAGTAAATGCAAGCATGCAACCAATAAGTATTTAGATGATTCCTTGAGTTCTAATAAAACATTTAATTTATCTCTTCATTCAAGTCTTGAATGCATAAAGACTACAAATAGGAACAACTTATTTAGAAAAACTCAAATGTGAAATAGGTGTAACTTTTGTGGATGGAAGGAGTACTTTATGTGTGACTATTTTTTATTGTTTGCATAAATCTTTTAAATAAGAGGATGGTTAAATGTTGAAGATGGATATCTATGTCTACGTTTATTTTAGGACGGAGGTACTGTATATACATTATTGCATGATCATCGTTGGGATTGCCAAAGAAAGTTACTACTAAGTGCTAGTCTTTTTATTTTTTATATTTTATTTTAGAACAAAGAAACGTTCTGAGAGGTCCCAAACTAGAGCAAGCTCGTTTGAATTGAATATAGGATTCGTCGTAGCTGGCAGTATTTTCAGTTTTCACCTGACCTGAAATGGACCCACCCAGGACCCAGCCAACTATACTTCTACTTTTTCTCTTTTGAACGTACAGGTGTATTTAAATTTGTGTGTGTGATAATGTGATTTACCCTAAGCTTTCCTTGTTCCGCAAAACCAGCAAGGGAAAAAGCCTGCAGGAGAGACGTGCGATGCAACGACTATATACTACTCAATCCGTTTCGAAATGTTTAACGCCGTTGATTTTTTATCATATGTTTGACCATTCGTCTTATTTAAAAAATTTAAGTAATTATTAATTCTTTTCCTATCATTTGATTCATTGTTAAATATATTTTTATGTAGACATATAATTTTACATATCTCATAAAAGTTTTAAAATAAAACGAACGGTTAAATATGTGCTAAAAAGTTAATGATGTCAAACATTTCGAACATTTCGAAACGGAGAGAGCGCTATAGTACATGATACGTTGCGAACTGTGTGGTACAGTAGAAAAAGAAAATTAATACTCGACGCAACGACACCTCATTCACTCATCCATCCATCCATGCATATCTTTTCTTTCGTATACACAAAAAAATCACACCAATCAAAACAGGAGTACCAATGTTTTCGGTAGCGTAGAATATAGTACTATCAATTTATAGTTATTGATTTGATAAATATTAGTAGCAATTCAAATATCTAGTATTCAGTATTGCTAAATGCTACAGTAGTAGTATTTGATTTTGGCATCAAACCAAATTTAACCCAAAAGAGGGATAAACTAAGAAAATACACGTCCAAAATCCGAATGGGCTTTTAGCTAAAACGGCCCAACCACAGGGCGCAGGGAGAGCTGCACAGAAATTAAAGCATAATCACGCTCATCATTAGACACTAATTAAGATCACAGTACCATTAGTCACTTGCTTAACACCACAGATCACAATTAAGAAACCGCCTTTCGTTCGCTATAAAAGGCGCACGCCGTGGTGAGGGCGAGGGCGAGCTCTCTCTCACCATTCACCAACCACTCCACGCGCCCACGCCTCGCGCGCCCCAATATCCATGTTTAGACACGACTACTTTATTAGACTTAAAAACTAACTTAAATCCGTCTCTAGTCATACGGGAGCCACTAACAAGATTCCTGTCGATAGAAGGGACATGCTGCACATTCTTCAGCTGCACGATCTTTCCCGAAGTAAACTTCAGATCTACCGTGCCAACACTATGAACAGAGGCATGTGACCCATTCCCCATTAGGACGGTGGAACCCCGTGCGTCCTGATAAGAAGAAAACAATGAGATGTCAGCACAAACATGTACATTGGCCCCAGTATCAACCCACCAATTAGTAGACTGATTAACTGAAAAAACAATAGGTAAATTACCATACCCGCTTCCATCTCCAGTGTTACCAATAGTCACATTAGCAGACTTAGAAGTCTGCCCTGCAGGTGCCTTCATCCCCTTGCGCTGTGGACACTTCCTAGCCAGATGACCAAGTTGGCCACACACAAAGCAAGTCCTCTCATCCTGATTAGGATTGTTGTCGTTCTTCTTCTGCTTCTTGAAGTTGGTGGTCTGCTGAGCTTTGTATTTCCCTTTGCTCTTGTTCTGGGCCTTGTGCACAACATTGGCACTGGACTGCCCACCATCGCCCTTAGACACGGCATCTTTTTCCTGAGCTTTCTCCTCAACATCAAGAGACGCTATCAACCCCTCAACGGAGTATTCCTGTCTCTTGTGTTTGAGTGCAGTACCGAAACTTCTCCAAGATGGAGGTAGTTTCGCAATAATGCACCCGGCCACAAATTTGTCGGGTAAGACACACTTAAGGAGTTTGAGTTCCTTAGCCATGGTTTGTATCTCATGAGCCTGTTTGATAACAGAACGGTTGTCAGCCATCTTGTAGTCATGAAACTGCTCCATGATATACAGATCATTGCTAGCATCAATAGCACCGAATTTAGTATTCAGTGCATCCCACAACTCCTTAGCGTCGGTCATATGCATATACACCTCGACCAGACGATCGCCAAGAATGCTAAGAATGCATCCCACAAAGAGAGTAGTGGCTTCCTCGAATTGCTTCTGCTGTTCAGCAATAAGAACTCCTTCAGGTTTGCCAGTACTCACCCAGAAGCATTTCATAGCTGTCAGCCACAGAGTGACCCTGATCTGCCATCTCTTAAAATGCACACCGGTGAATTTATCCGGCCTCAGTGCATCGGCAAAACCAGCCATAGTAAAATCACAATGCCTATAATAAGGTTTTTGGATTGTTGAGATTATAGGCATATAATGATTTAATCTACTCCATAAATAAATCATGACATTACAGATGAAAACTAGCATGAACGCATCATTAGATCTACACATGTAAACTACACAGTATAACATAAACAGATCAAATATGCGCAACATATTGAACACGTACCGAGGTGGCGGAAAGACCGGCTGCTCGGTCGAAACTTTTCGCAGGCATCTACGAAGGCACGCAGCACGCAAGCGAAGAGGAAGACGAGCCGTCGCGGACGAACAGGGAGCAGTCGCGCAAAGCGCTTCCCAAAAACCTTATTGCCGCCTTCTCCCGGTGCAGAACGTCGAAGGCAGAGGTTCCGGAGACCTGCTCTCCCGATCACAGGTGCACGCCGGCGAGCGGGATGGAGTAATCTACGAGCGACGCGCAGCACAGAGTCGGAGGCAAACCCTAGATTGATTTCGCGTGTGTTGCGTGAAGGCGGCGGCTCGGTTTATATAGAGAAGGGTCGCTTGATAAGGGCGCCCGCACGATCTCCACTGCGCGTAACCGAACCGGATAAGTCGCGCGTAACTTATCCGGACTCCACACCGTTTGCATGCACCGGATTTTTCTGGAACGTTTCCAAAACAAAAACGAATCCGAATTTGCAGCAAAACAAAATTGCAAAAGGAGGCTGCATCTGCGCAAGGTGAGGAACCAATTTTGGCGAACCACGTGCACGTCGTGCACGTGCGCCGCCTGCCAGGCGAGCGAGTACGCGCGCGCGTGTGTTCCCCCTCTTCTCTCCACCACACATGCTTCAAGTGGCTAGGAGGGCATCCTCCCTTTTAAGGAGGTCCCCCTCTCCTAGAATAAGTAAGGTGGTACTAAACTCCACATGCATGCCATCCCATGAGGTGGGCTTTTGTGATTTTCCAAAGAATTAATCTTCGAGTGGGCTAAGGTCCATTCATTAATTCCAACAGTAAACATTGGTGATGCCCTTAGCCATCCATCCTCGTTCCCTCTCACCTCTTGTTTGGGCTCTCTGTCTCTTCTTATGTGATGAGTGGGCACCATGCGGGCTCCACTGTTTTTTGTTTCCTTTGATATGAGTGCCACGTAGGACGATGACCGAGTCAACACACAACATGGGGTCACATGAGTCGAAAACAATCTCAATTAGTCAAT